TCTAGAGGTAGCAGACAGACTGAGTGAGTATAAGGTACAACATATTACCCACCAGGACTCATAGGTGTGCACAGGTCCAGCAGAGTACTAAAGCACCGTGCTACACTAAGCCTCCCACTGACCACTGTCTAGTAAGTGATTGCCTAGGTAAGCCCTACTCTTGATTGCTGGTAAAGAAACATAGTAAACGCCTACTAGCCTCCTACATCCAGCTTCTATCCAACTCAAAAAATAAATCCCATAAAGACCCTGTGAAATGTAAAATAAAAAGCCTAAATGCGGCATCTTTCCTTGACACGCGTTTCGGCGCTACGTGGCGCCTTTATCAAGAGTAAATATACTCTTGATAAAGGCGCCACATAACACGGAAACAATATTTTCTACTTTTGGAAGTGGCAAAAAGACCAGGGGCTTCTCCCCATATATTGACTTAATCCTCTCCCAAAACCCCACCATATGTACAACCCTAAACTGTCCTATGATTCGCATTGACACCAAAGTATAATATAAATTCCACATTTGCTGCGTTAACCCCATACGTTGCTGCATAAACCTGCACCCACTGTAATACACTTATAAAGTAATGTATAATTAACTCCATATATGGTACATTAAAGAGGCACTGTCACAAATTACATATATGGAGGGGTTCTTTCTTTTTCAATATTACAGGGTTTGGCAACTTATCAAAGTGTGCCAATCAGATCTGGATACTTTCAAGACCCCAATTGGGCTCCAGTTCCTGTCAGATCTCCCCTAGAGATTCCTCAGTACATCTCTCCTTGATAAATATTATTTTTACTTGCCAAAGTGCTTCAATTGTTTCCACAATATTTTAGGTTTTATATTTGGAATTTGGGAAATGATATCCATTGAGTCTGTTAATGATTTGCTGATGAATTTTCTACATTGGTTATATTACCTCTTTTGTTTCTTCATTGATGAACCATGGAAAAACAAACAAACAAACAAAAAAAAAACAGAGAGGAACAGTTAAAATATTTATAACAAAATTGATAATCATTCCATGTACAGTGGCACCAAACCTGCCTTTGCTAATTTTAGCTAAATGTTAGTCAATGAACTTAAACTCAAACAATTGAACACATTGAAAGGCTTAGTTTTAAGAGACAGGAAAGGAAAAATAAAGACTTCAGGAAAAAGTACGTGTGGATTTCCAATCAGTCCTGAAAAATATATTTTATATTAAATTTCTGTGAGACTTTGTGTGGCCTGTCTTTCTTCATCCACTGGTTAATTTCTACTTGAAACCATATTGACATTTTAATTTAATGTGAGAATATATACACATGTGCAGGTTTATAGCAAATAAAGCTTGTCCATGCCACATCAGACATCGCTAACACTTCAGGCAGAGCTATCCTACAAAGCCTTGGGTGCACTCAGGCATCTCCAAAGAAATTATGCAATAGCACATTTACGCTTGATGTTTTTATTATCAGTGCTGTAAGTACGCACAGCACTGCAGGAAATAAGTAATCTGCATACTCTGCCCAGTGAGCCTGGCAGGGCATGGGAATTACTATAAAAATTAATGAGAGGATTGTCAAAACATTTTAGCACAATCAATAGCTGACTTTCAGTTATTTATTTGGTTGTGGCCAAAATTCATAATTCATAGGTCCTCTTTCCGTATAGATTTATAGGTGGTCATAAAAATATAAATCAATGTACCTTTTTCAGCTCCAGGAGGTGCTTCATACATGAAGTTCAATCCATTTTTTACTCGCTCATCACCCAGAAGTACTCTAAAAACAGAATTCAAAACAAATATAAAATAAGTATGCAGTACTAAGACAATCTACTAGCCTTGTCTAAAATGGACTTGTCTATTATTGATCTATGACGACATGCAGCGTCAAGGTGTGCATTAATACAGAGGGATTATTGAAGGGAAAGTCAATGCAGGCAAGTATTTGAACCACTTTATCCTCCCCATATAACTTTCATACTTCAGTCCAAGTCACTTGTACCCACCGCATGTGATTCACACTTCTTTTTGATAGATTCCTGGTCATTCAGGCCAGACCCTTCCTTTCATCGTTACCAATTCCTTCTCCCCGCCGTGTCACATGTACCTTCCAACATCACATCCACCGGTCACCCTCCTTTCCCCAAATCACCTCCACCTGCCAACTTCTTATTCCTGCATCACCTCTATCCGCAGCACTTATATTTCCCGCATCATCTCCATCCACAGTCTTTTTTTTCCTGCATCACCTCCATCAATTACCCACATCGCACCAACCCACCCCTCCCTTTCCCCACATAATATTCATCGGCCACCTTCCTTTACCCCCATTATATCCATGCGTCAAACTCACTTCACATGTCACTTCCAACAACCTCCGTAAATATTTTGAACTTTGTATTTATACATATAAACAAACACACTCGTGTTGGTGTAACTAGCATATCACACCATTGTTTTGTACTTGCTACACACTTTGTTTGTATGCAGGAAAGACTCCCACGGAACCATGGCCCACCCCATATAATTGAGACATCCCAATACGGAAGCTTAGTTCCACATCATCTAACCAAAATATGTGTACGCTCACACCATGCAAGGCTGTGACCGTTATTGCATGATTCAGACACTCCAAATCACTGCAGCACACACACTCTGTACAAACACTTTGACATATAATGATCAAGTGAATATCCCATTACGTATTACGTTGAAACAAAAGGGGCCTTCAGTGTAGGGATTTTCTTCTTTTTTGCCAAACTAATTAAGACGCCCCCCTCCCCCCAAACAATTTGAATATCTATTAAATAGGTGACCAAAATGGAAGGGTTTCTCAGCAGATATATGCTATTTTACCCTCCCCAATGCCAGGTAGCAAATCAGACTTGGAAGTGTGTGCAGTCAGCATCACTATGTGCCAAAGACAATCATCTGTCGTTTGAGAATCTCTTTCTATGTGTTAAAAGAGACACATTTTAAAATAAGTATGTAGAATGGACCCATGTTAGGAATTCCTTTCTAGAGGAAATTCAGATCCTTTAATATAGCTACAGAATTGCATAGCTAAACATGTTAAATTAATAATACATACATAAAATGTGGCCATGTTAAATAAACTTCAGATAATTTAGATCATAGAAGAACAGAAACATGTTAGTTTATTTTGGATTAGTCACTACTGAACCGAAATAGAATTTTTCAAAAGCAAAACAATATATTAAAAAGACTCACCTGTTGTTATATGAATCTTGTTCCTTTAAATACTGTGACATTAAGTCTTCCTGTTTTTTCTTATCATATGTTATTTTCTGTTCTGCCATCCATACCTAAAGAAAGAGGGGGGGAATTTTTGCTGTATATTATTAAGAATTTATACACTAAACTTTGAATAGTAGCAAATTTAAATAGAATGGAAATGAACCTCAGCTATTTTAGCCTTTAACATGCCATTCTGATTTCTATACAGAGTTTAGTGAATAAAGCAGAGTCCTGCCTCTATACTTATGACTTGATGCACTACATGAGCTTCTGACTACATTATTTTATTTATACAGCGCCATCACATTCCGTAGCGCTGTACAATGTACCCTCAAATACATCAGCGGTATAGAACACGTTGTATAGAAATGGTTCTTCAACATAGTGCTATATTCTATTAGAAGATATAGGCTTAACCTATCTGGAAGTACAATTTCTTGTTCCCTCTCTGCAGTAAAGCTATTGGAACATTTACTGGGGTGAATAATACAGCAAGGGATAGGATAAAAAAAAATAGCACACCCCTGCTTTATTACTGCCACCCTATGATGTCTTGTTGGCACTTGGGACATTCCTTCACAGGGTTATTTACTAACATGATAATTTACTGTGAATTATAAATTTATGGTAAAAATAGCTGAAGTGGAAACATTCTCTAAGTCAGCTATGCCTTCAGTTCAACAACTGTAGCTTTATATATCAAATTCCTTTTAGTAAATAACCCTGACGTGTTTGGTATAAGAATTATAAGCAAGGAATCTCCTAGAATTGACCAGGAAATTGTCCATTTTAGATCATGGGTAGAAAAAGTCCACATAAACTATTTTCTTGCTCAACTATTGTTTTTTTTTTTTTTTTTTTTTAAATGATGTTTTCTCAGCAAGCCCCCATATCAGTCATCATGCCAGTGTATTGCTACACTATAGACTCTCCAGCAGCTCTGGACTACGTCTCCCATGATGCTCAGACAGCCCTGTGACAGTCTGTGCACCATGAGAATTCTGCCCACACTGGCTGGACTATGAGTGCTCTGGATATCTCTCACCTTTTTGATGTTGGATTTAGAGGCAGGATGGAAATCCTTCTTACACATGAAATTGGCAAACGATTTCCCCATGGCTGGTCCCTGGCAGCTTCACTGCTCTGTGTTACAAAACAAAACAAACTCAATGTACAGCTATAAAAAAACACTTCCGGGTTGATGTCTTCCTGGAAGTGAGTCACCGAGCACGTGCATGTAACGTTCCAATGGAGCCTTGGGCACTCCCAGTGCTGTGAACTCAATTTCCCATGACCATTAGCGCATTGAGAATAACTAGAATAGTAATTATAATAACATTGGGGCCAAGGATTAACCCTTTTATGCTCCCCTGACCAAAGAGCTGTCACAAACCATGTGAGCCTTGACTTACTGTCTGCATTATAAACACTGGAGCATGATAAATATCTAATAAATAAATGTAGTGTCAGCACAGGGCTGGAGACAAGTGATAGCTGAATAATAGGACCTGTCTGTGATTCACACAGGCCATGGGGTGAATATTAGCTTTATATTTAGTATGTAGGATGTTTTGGGGTCTAATTATTACATCCATAAGTGTAGGGTTTTCATGGTATATAATATGACATTAAAACAGGGTATTTATATTCCTGGAGGTGTAATACAACAAGAGGCTGCCAGAGGGCGACCAGTGTCCACACAAAGTGACTATGGAGCAGTAATCCAAGGTTTCATGGCCATAGAGGGAGTATGGGGCCACCTTATTCTAAAATATTAAATAATAGAGTACAGGAGACCTGCTGCTCTGTGTTACCAGGCAACAATGCTTTTACAGCTGCACAGGTGCCTTCAACCATACAGGCTCAGACACCAGCGACAATATGGCGAAGCGGTGTGTTCACTCTAGTGTTTAGAACTCTACATGCAATGTTTACAGTAAAGAGACTGGAGTCCAGAGCGAGGCTTGCAACGCGCGATGACGTCACGGTGCCCAGTTTGCCAATCACACATGGTGTAGGAGGTGACAGCTGCTGTGTGTTGACTGTAAGTATAGTCTGCAGAGAGCCTGGAATATGACATTGAATGCAGCACTTAGCCATCTTTGTGTTTTATTAGCCATTGTTTTCAGCAGTCATGTTGCCATAAGTCAGAATGTGGAGACATGTTGCTGTTTGTAGACTGAATAAAAGTGTAGAAGTAAAATGGATATAAACAATCATTACTAAGAGTAGCTGCCATACAATAACAGCTACTTTCTATTTTGGCCAGCAGCTTTGTTGTTTGACATTGCATCCTAAATTGCTTGGCTAATTAATGGCTTACTGAATAGCTAATGAATTGTTAATTAAAGTGTGAACTGTGGGGAAGTCTAAGTGAATTGCAACTAAGCTTAAAAAACTAGTTTTGGAAACACCTGGTAAGTTTTTAGTTAGGTCTAAAATTTGCATATCTGCTCAATTCACTTTCAGTTCCTGATTCATTAAAATTTTAGTGAATAACTCGTTGCAGGTTTCCACAAGAAGTTGTTTAAGAAACAGTGCATGGGTGTTGTAGAATGAATGTGTCCTAACTCCAATAACAGGTCCTACTTACACTAGCAGAGTTTTTCACAAAACAAGCATTTTACCTGTAAAGTGCAAATCTGATGTCAAAATAGTTGAATTGGAAACATTTTTGTTTTCAGAGTAGCTACTTTGCCTTACAATTTGAAATCCCATTGTCTGCAATTCAAAGTGAATTTCAAATGTTAGGCTATAAAAGTCAAACTCAAATCACTTCAGATATTTTGCCCTTAAATCTGAAATTCACATTGAATTTATGGCAGTTCACACATTGATGTATAACTGTAAGGAATTTATGATGGAGGTGACCATTGCAGTTTATTATCCACAGATATGCATTGCTCTTTTGGATTACTAAATTGATCCCAAATCCAAGGGCAGCAGGGTCAAAAAATGAGGCAAATTTCACTAGCAAGCCTTTTCTTCGTTGGGAGGTCTCAACAGGGTTGTCTTGCAGACCTTGCCCTCTTTAAGATCTAGGGTGGTGTCTTCCTACAGTATTACCCAATATATTGTACTCCTAGCCTTCAGATCCTCAGGCTGTAAGAAGGAAGAACACCTTACAAAGTTGGATATGGTCAGATGTCTTCTTATTGAGAAGAATGGCTGCTTAGGCAGACATATCTCCACTCTTTGTCATTTGTATAGATCAAAAAAAAAAAGAGGATGATGCCTTATGTACTAAGATAGGTAGATGGATCGTATCATCAATCATCACATCCTGTCAGGCTAAGGGAATACCATTTAATATAATACACGTGGGATACAGCTGTTGAACCTAAAATGTAATAAAACAAAACATAGCATAATACAATTGATAAATATATAATAATCCCTGTTAAAGACTGCACTCTCCGTATTTGAAGTTAAATGCGCTCTAATGGTGCCTCCCCTGATGTTTGGGGGACTAGTATCTCCCTCTCAGGATCAGGTGTCACCCAATATCAGGAACCATGCAGGACTCCTACAGGTGGATAAGTAGAAAAGAGATTTATTGATCGCAATTTAAAAGTAGTGATTAAAAAGCAATTTTGGTCTTACGCGTTTCGTCCTCTAATGGGACTTCCTCAGAGACCAATATTCAATAAAAACAATCACAATAGTAATGCTCCCAAATTAGGGAATACCAGAGCTCCTTCAAGACTATGGCCCATTCAACCAGGACCATGTTCTTGTCTTGGTTAGCTGAAGCACAAATCCCTCCAGACTAGATATTCTATACAGTGTCCTGAACTTCTATTCTACATTCATTCCATATTGCAAGCTAAAGATTCAGGAAGATGTTTAACTGCAAAAATGTATATATCTGTAGCATACATTTTGTGGATGTGTAGGTTTCCCTCCCTCTTGCTTGGGTATAACAGCCATGAATATATGTACAAATATTTCACTTTCCCTGTAATATGCCATGACAGCTCTATGTATCCTCCCCCACCCAGACTTATATTTATGGCTTGGATCAGACAATGGTGTAACGGAGGTACTGGACTCCTTTTATTTATTTTTGGAGGATTGTTTCTGTCCAGTAGGAGTAGTAGGGGGGTGTGTAGTGCTGCAATGGCATATTTCCAGGAAAGGAAAATATTAAAGGACCACTCTAGGCACCCAGACCACTTCAGCTTAATGAAGTGGTCTGGGTGCCTGGTCCAGCTAGGGTTAACCCATTTTTTTTATAAACATAGCAGTTTCAGAGAAACTGCTGTGTTTATAAATAGGTTAATCCAGCCTCTAAAGCCTCTAGTGGCTGTCTCATGGACAGCCGCTAGAGGCGCTTGCGTGCTTCTCACTGTGAAAATCACAGTGAGAAGACGCCAGAGTCCATAGGAAAGCATTATGAATGCTTTCCTATGAGACTGGCTGAATGTGCGCGCAGCTCCTGCCGCGCATGTGCATTCAGCCGAAGAGGAGGAGGAGAGCTCCCCGCCCGGCGTTGGAGAAAGGTAAGATTTTAACCCCTTTCTCTCCCCAGAGCCTGGCGGGAGGGGGACCCTAATGGTGGGGGCACCCTCAGTGCACTATAGTGCCAGGAAAACGAGTATGTTTTCCTGGCACTATAGTGGTCCTTTAAGTAGAAATAAATTTTTCTCTGTTTACTATAGTGCAGTGTACAAAGCCGTTTAATGAGGTGTACTGTTAGGGTGGTGCATCTTATTTAAAGGAACACTCTAACAAAAATATAATTTATTTTAACCTTGCAGTGTTTTCTTTTTTTTTGTTCTTTAGATTAGTGGGCCCCACTTGTTAAAGGAACAAGCCAAGTACTATATCCACTACAGTACGCTGTAGTCATTACGTTTCCAGGATTTCCCTGGTGCTCCCGCCATCCCCATTGTAAGGAGTGAAACCATTTTAAGACTGTTTAACTTCTTACATGTGGTCAGCCAGGAGCCAATCCCCCCTCCACTTTTTCAGCCATGAAGCTCCTACTTTCATTAGATCTTAGGAGTGCAGGGCTAGTAATTTAATAAAACCCTTTTCATACACACTGTAGTGTATGAGAGGAATGGTCACTTGGTTTACTGTGCATTATACAAAGTATTATTACGCTTCATTGTACTTGCAGATTCCTCCAGTCATGGAACCTTGCTCTTGTGATACCTTTGTTGCCTTACCACCTGCAACAGTTGGCAACAGGATTATTTTTGGGAAGAATTCAGACAGACCCAGTGATGAAGTACAAGAGATTGTTTACTTCCCTGAGAAAACCTATAAGAAAGGAGAAAAACTGGAGGTGAGATTAACTAAATCGAGAATTCAAAGTAAATTTCAAATTTAAGGCCAGAGCAGCAGGCGTGGAGATTTTTTTTCTAGTTTGGCTATTCTGACCTTAAATTTGACATTGACCTTGAATTCTCACTTTAGTAAATAATTCCCAGATTTTACTATTAACATGACGTAAAGTCATGATTTTATTAAAGACACGGAGGCGAGTATTATGCATAACTCTTTCTTTATTTCCTCAGCAGCAAAGATAGAGGAATATAAATATTGTCAAAATGAAAGAAAAACTGCATAGATACACAGGCAACCAATCACATAACAGAGGAAGTGACTATAAAAGGCCTGTGTCTCCCACAATCCCCCTCTTTCTTGCGGAAACCGAAGACCAGATAAGAAGAACGAAATCCAACTTGTCCATAACAGGAAAAAGGCAACGAACCGAAAACTTCAAGCTAAAAAGAGAGAGAGAAATATGGTAATACCCAGACTTCAAACTGTAAACTTACCAAAACAAACTGTTGGTTACTCAACGACAGATAATATAGGGATCAAAGCAAACATTAGCAGTTCCATGATAAACCGGAATCTGAAAAACATAAATAAATAATTAGTCGATGTGATATAACAAGTGAGTCACATACCCATAGTGACATAGAAAAACATACCGACATGAAAAAACGTACCTGAAGAGCTCAAAAGCATCTCAACCCTATACCCTCACGGGAGGGTGGGAGGGAATAATACTCGCCTCCGTGTCTTTAATAAAATCATGACTTTACGTCATGTTAATAGTAAAATCTGGGAATTTTATTAAAGACACGGAGGCTCATATTATGCAAGTTTAAAGCTGTGCGATCACCTGAGATGCGATATGCTCAATAGGTTTGAAATAGAATTCACGGAAGGTCGATTCTCTAGACCAGTCCGCAGCACGCATGATGTCCTCTAGTCGACAGCCGACCGTGGATGCCTTCGAAGCCATAGCACCCCGAACCGAGTGAGGCGTAAAGACCGAAGTGTCAACGCCCGCCGAGGATAAAAGCCAGCGCACCCATCGTGCGAGAGTCGGAGTCGAAACAGGCCTATGAGGTGTCCTAAAAGACACGAACAGAGGATGCAAGTCCAAGGAACGAAAAGGTCGAGTAGCATCCAGATAAGTCTTCAGACATTCAACCGGACACAATGCTGGAGAGCCCGGGAACCTAGGATACGTGAACGACTTGGATGCCGACTTTGTCCTCCTGGATATGTTGAAAGTAACACCCTCCGGGGTGAATACAATGGCGTCCCAGTCAAGGGCCCTAACATCAGACACCCTCTTACATGAAACCAAACAGAGTAGCATCACTAGTTTGGAGGATAACTGCTTGAGACTCAGTTCGTGGTTAGGATACCAAGATGAGAGGAATCGTAACATGACGTTGACGTCCCAGAAGGCAGAGAAGCGAGGTCTAGGAGGGCGAGCGAGGCGGATGCCTTTGAGAAGGCGGCACACAAAAGGATGTCTGCCGACTGGTGAGCCATCCAAACCACTATGCCCGGCCGAAATCGCCGAGCGGTAGAGGTTGACGGTGCGGTATGCCTTGCCCGTCTCAAACAGTGTCGTGAGAAACTCTAGGATCAGATGGAGAGGGGCAGATACGGGATCCATAGACCGTTCCATGCACCAATCAGACCACGAATTCCATGAAGCACGGTAGGCTGATCTCGTACCGGGGGCCCAGGCGTTATCGAGGAGCAGGAGAGTTGATCGCGGAACATTTGGGACAGCCCAAGTTCCCCTGAAAGGAGCCACGCCACAAGAGGCAACTGCCGTTGACGCAAAAGATCGTGAGAGTTCCTATCAGGATCCAGAAGGAGGTCCTGGAAGCACGGGATCAACCGGGGATAGTCTATTGACAACTCCAACAGACGAGGGAACCATGGTCTGGATCTCCACAGGGGGGTGATCAAAACCAGGCGGCACTCGTGACGAGTCATCTTCGATATCGTGCGGGCGATCATGTTGAACGGGGGAAAGGCATAAAGGCAGCCCGGTGGCCATTCCTGGAGAAAGGCGTCCGTCGCGACCGCTGCCGGGTCCGGCCTCCAGCTGTAAAATTCCGGTAGTTGAGCGTTCAGACGGGACGCGAACAGATCCATCCTGAACCGCCCCCATAGACTGTCCAGGCCTTGGAACACCGAAACGTGCAAACGCCAGTCTCCCGAGTCTCTCAAATGTCTGGAATTCCAATCCGCGTCCGAATTGTCCAGCCCCGGAATGTGTTCCGCTGTCACGGACACATTGTTGAAAAGGCAAAATTGCCAAAAATCTTTCGCTAGCAGAGCCAACATCCTGGACTTGGTGCCTCCAAGGTGGTTGATATAACGTACGGCCGACACGTTGTCCATCTTGAGAAGAACGCAGCAGTTCGCCCGTCCTGGGGTAAGGCTGCGAATCGCGAATGCCCCTGCCAGGAGCTCCAGGCAATTGATGTGCAGGGATCTCTCCGTCTCGGACCATCTGCCTCCTGTGGAAACGTTGCCACAACGAGCCCCCCAGCCGTGTAAGCTGGCATCTGAATCTATTATCACGTCCGGGATGGAACCGAAGATGGCCCTCCCATTCCAGGCTTCCATGTGGGCTAACCACCACACCAGTTCGTCTCTGGACTCCACGTCCAGCTGTACACGGGATTCGTAGGAATGACCTGCTCGGAGGTGAGAACCCTTGAGCCTTTGGAGGGCACGATAATGGAGTGGGCCCGGGAATATCGCCTGAATGGAGGCCGCAAGGAGACCGATAATGCGTGCCAATTGCCTGATGGATAGATCTTGTACACGCAGAGCCCTTCGAAGCTCCTTTCGGATGGCTCTGATCTTTGAATCCGGCAAGTATAGGAATTGGCGGATGGAATCCACCTGGAAACCTAGGAACTCCATCGACTGTGATGGGTCCAGGATCGATTTGTCCCAATTGATCAAGAACCCCAGGTTTTGCAGTAGATCGATCGTCCATCCCAAATGCGTGAGAAGCTGGTCTCTGGACTGGGACATGATTAAGATGTCGTCCAGGTAAATGATTAAACGCACCCCACGGGTACGGAGGAACTCCATCGGAGGCTTCATGATCTTGGTGAAGCACCATGGCGCCGAGGAAAGGCCGAAAGGCAGACAGGTAAAGCGCCAGCGTCTCCCATGCCAGGTGAAGTGCAGGTAATCCCTGCACTCCAACGCTATCGGGACCGTGAAATACGCGTCCTTCAGATCCAACTTGGCCAGCCAGTCTGACTGACGGAGGAGGTCCCTGAGGCAGTGTATACCCTCCATCTGAAAGTGTTGGTACCGGAGGAATGCGTTGAGGGGACGGAGATTTATCACCGGGCGGACTCCGCCCCCTTTCTTGGGGACCAGGAAGAGATTGCTCGTAAAGCCTTGGGCGGCGAACGGCAACTCTTCTATAGCGCCTTTCGACAGCATCTCCTCGACTTCTGCCGAGATCATCTCGTCTTGGTCTAGCGGGAGAGACAATTCCCTGGGGACATTGGACAGGGAGAGAAACAAACTCCAGGCGATAGCCCTTCACACACTGTAGAACCCAAGCGTCTGAAGTAATACTTGCCCACTCTTGGTGGAACAGAGCCAGCCTGCCCGCTACCCGAGCCCGAGTAATATGGGAAGAAGGGGTACTTACCATAAGGGCGTCTTCCCGAAGCGGCACCGCGGGGGTATCTGGAGCCCCAAGGTCTCCCTCTGGCTGGGAAGAAAGGGGGCGTCCTCGGATCCTGGAATCCCCGGGACGGAAAGAAGGAACCTCTTTGGGCACGTGAGGAGCCACGGAAACCACGGCCGGGTGGACGGTTCCTGCTACGCCCGGCCCCTCCGAAAACCTTGGGCGCGAACATGCGCTTCATATTCGCCTGCGCCTTGTCAATGGCCGTAAAGGTCTTAACATACGACCCCAAGTCCTTAACAAAGGAAGCACCGAACAGCATCCCCTCCTCGGAAGGATCAGGCTCCGCCACAGTCATGGCAGCCAGTTTTGGGTCAAGCTTGAGGATAATTGCCTTACGCCTCTCTGAGGACATGGCAGTGTTCGCATTCCCCAAAAGACAGATAGCTCTCTGGACCCATCCTATGGCAACATCAACATCCAGCATGGAAGTGCCTGCCCGAGCGCCGTCCAGGAGCTCGTATAATTTAGATAAAGGACCCAGGGTGTCCAAGAGCTTGTCCTGGCACCCCTTGAGTGAATAGTCTAAGCCCTTCTTGGGCTTCCAGCCCGATTTGTTCATGAATTGAGCAATCTGAGGGTCGATGTCAGGGGTTTTGCAGGCTGCACCGGGCAGAGAGGGTCTGGGGCATTCCGCCCGCAACTTATTGCGACCTTCTTTGGAAAGGGGGGTGTGCATGCGCCGTGCCACATATTGAGCAATATGGTCCGGGGGAACCCACTCTGCGGACCTAGGGTGACGAAGATCGTCGGGGTCAAATAAGGGGTTGCCCTGAGGGTCAACCAGTGCCTTGGTATCCCCAGTGGGGTTTATCAACTGACTACGGGCAGGGACGGGTGCCCCAGAAGGGGTCACACCCGCAAGCGGTAAGTCCTCACCCGACTCACCCTCATCAAAGGAGTCATACTCCAGAACGTCTGATTCATCCTCCACACTCCGGTCGGAATCCGACCCATCATCCAGGGCTTTAGCCCGTTTCCACAACCTAGCCTTTTTAGCCCGGCCAGGGGCTCTTTTGCGCGTGGGAGGCGCGCTGTCTGTGACCGCCTCTAGCGTGTCAATCATGGCAGGTAGAACCTGCATCGAGGAGTGGGAGTCGACGTGTTTAGATTTCTCCTTAGCCTTACGGGCCCCCGGCACAGTCGGGGTAGGAGAGGGTAGTCCCATGCCCAGGAGGGCGGGAGTCGCCATGGAAGGCAGCAGGAGAGAATGCAGGGATTGGGAAAAGGAGGATGATACAGCCCCCATGGCTGAAGCAAAAGCCTTCTGCAGGGAAGAGGCCATAGTGGCATCCAGCAGGGCTTGGAATTCCTGGGAAGCAGTAGCCCCCACAGGATTATCTGTATTGAAATCAGTGGGGAGGCCCTCAGGCCCATCCTCCCTCTCCTGCATAGTTAAAGTAATTTACCAGGGGACACCCAACACAAACAGTTTACAAGTTAAAACAGTGTCAAAAAACAGGATTGAAAGGGTTGATTAACCCTGCAGAGTGAAAATAGGAAGAAAAACCTGAGCACTGGTGCACCCCAGGGACCCAGGAGTAAGGCAGAGCGCACGGCAGCAGAATGGAACGACCGGGGGTAAGGACCGCCCTCAAGATGGCCGCCGCACGTGCAGGGAGCGCTCGTGGCCTGCAACCCGGCGGGGGAAGGGGCGCGCGCCCCTCCCCGCGCGGGCAGCCCGCGAGCGAGCCGGGAAACACGCTGACAGCCGCGGCAGTAGCAGAGAGAGCCGCGGCTGAAAGCCGACCTGGGAATAGAAGGCACCCGCCGGCCGGCAGAGCGGTCGCGGCGGGCGGAGTGAGGGAGGGGTGGGTGGGAGCACCAGCGCAGGGGACAGAGTAGGAGCTGCAAGAGGCAGCTCAGCAGATAGAAAACACAGAGGAATGAATGTGAACAATCACAGTGCAATCTCAAACAACCATAAGAAAAGCACCATAATAGTACAGCATAACAACCATGTAAATATAAAACACAGCAAATAAATACAATGGACCAAGCAAAGTACTTAGCTGTCTGAGGAAGCAGCAAAGAAAGAGGGGATTGTGGGAGACACAGGCCTTTTATAGTCACTTCCTCTGTTATGTGATTGGTTGCCTGTGTATCTATGCAGTTTTTTCTTTCATTTTGACAATATTTATATTCCTCTATCTTTGCTGCTGAGGAAATAAAGAAAGAGTTATGCATAATATGAGCCTCCGTGTCTTTAATAAAATCATGTTAATATTAATTTTGCACTTTATCTATGTTTGGACAGTAAATATCAATTTGATATCACGGTCAATATCACAAGTATGATTAGATGTGTACATTTTTGAATTCTGTCTTGCAAGGAATTCATTCAAATGCAGATTTGAAATACCCTGGATGTTAGCAAAAGGTGAAATGTTAAGTTAATGTTAGCTTAAGGCTTGCTCATCTAGGAAACCTATTTTTTTAAATTATTTTTTTATGGTTAAGAATGATTTGCCAGCTAAATTTTTTAAAACTGTGGTTTAATCACTAAACTGAGAATTAAGAAGGATTGTTTAGGAAATATAGAATTGTAGACCAAGATATCTGAGCTGAAAAACAATAGATGAAAAATGTATTCAATTTTGCTAGTTTTTGACAAAATATAGTATCCCTGGTCTGTTTTCCCCACAATTCCTGGTTTAGTAAAAAACCCACAGAACCCTCAATAGTAATGATTTGAAAAAACAATTTGCAAACGTCAAGCTAAAAAGCCAAACTATGACTCCAGTTGAGTTGGGGATTTTCTTGCCTAAATGTTGCAAGTTGGTTTTCATTTGCTACAATTTTTTGTTTAGTGAATAAAGCACGTTACCTTTATCACAGCCTCAAAGTAGATGCAACACTTTTTTAAGTAACTTGCTCTGTTAAAGGATCGCACTAGGCACTATCACAGCTTTGCAGAGGTGCTGGGATGCTTATTACCAGAGCCTCATCTACCGTGCAGACATTACATAAATACATATATACTGGCAGCACAGCATGGACTATTTCAATACATTTAAATTGAGTGCATTAACACTCTAAAAAAAAAATCCCCTCGTAAGTGCTAAGACTACAGTTTTTTGGGTACCTAACGTACTAGTGTTGGGTCTACCCTACTTGAGTGCAGAAACAAAACACAGTTTGTAATTGTGTAGATAGAAACAGAGTATGTTTTATTATTATTATTATTATTAATAGAAATTCCTTTACTTTTACATCTTTGTATCACACACCAAAGCTTGTTTTAATTTTCTTTTTATTACCAGTGCACCTACATTGAAATTGAGCAAGCAGAGAAGACCTATGCTGTGATATTAAGTCGTCCATCTTGGTTATGGGGAGCGGAGATGGGAGCTAATGAATTTGGTGTTTGTATCGGAAATGAAGCTGTTTGGGGGAAAGAAGAAATTGATGACACTGAAGCACTTTTGGGCATGGATCTCGTGAGGTTGTGAACATAGTAAATAATAGCTACTTGTGAAATTAATCAAATATAATAAATCACCAAATCATAATGAATTATCTAAATATTGTAAAATATTTCTAAACTTTTAATTTTTGTTTTTACTATAACTAGGCTTGGTCTTGAAAGGGCGAATTCTGCAGAGGCTGCCCTAGAGGTTATTATTAGCTTGTTGGAAAAATATGGTCAAGGAGGGAACTGCATGGAAGGAAGCATGTCCTTCACCTATCACAACAGCTTTCTAATAGCTGATCGAAAAGAAGCCTGGATCCTGGAGACTGCTGGACAGTATTGGGCTGCTGAAAAAGTTGAAGGTAGTTTTTCACAAGATTGTACTTTATAAGTAAAAACCGACTTAAAATAATACGTATTTAGTATTAGTTTTAAATCTATGCATTTATTGATTTCAATAAATGGATTAACATCAAGAAACACATGTGCTTAAAAATTGTCTTACAGTATATTTAGCAGAGAAAGCAAAAATGCTGTATTTTATCAGCTGAAGTATATCCTTCATCATTTGTGCTCTGATGGCTCATAAACATGCTAGAAATTAAAATACTAACATCTCTGGACAGATTATTTTGAGAACAGAGCAAATATGAATATTTGTAAGGATTCTCGTTTTACTTTAGAATGTGACTCAAGTCTTATAACCAGCTAGTTACAGTAAACGCATGTCCTTTAGGAAACGAAAACCTGGTGAGTTCAGTGTAAACACACAAAAAGCCTTACTAGGCTGCAGAACTTGGGAAACCGAATAACACCTCAAGTCTTTTGAGTTTCCTTGGATTTGAGATGCTGAATCAGGTCACCATGGAAAATACTAGGGTAGTGATCTTGGGGTGAACCGGGAATATCATAGCTGCTTGATGTCATAGGAGGAAGCTTTACTTCCTCTTTTTGCAAGTCCACATGTTTGTATGGCGTGCACACACTGCATACAAGTCCTTTGACAGGTTCCTTCACAGCTTATTGAGTTGCAGTGGCATGAATGCGCACTAGCCTCTGATAGATCATTTTGCAAAACTGTGAAATCAAATTGCCACTTTTATTTGACTTTCATGATGAATTGAACTGCTGTTAAATGCTGCCTAGGGGGTTTAGAGGATATGCTCAGACCCCATTAAACAATTATTGGCTGAGCCTCTTGGTCTAATTAGAGCTCATTGCAGAATGTTCAGAGCCTAGGGATTTGCAGGAAATGCATGAATTTCAAAGACGAGTATCTTGCCGTTTATTTGTAAGTGTTTTTTTTATGCTTTATTTCTGTTGGTTGCTTTCAACCAATTTAGTGTGCATTCAAGCTGATTGACTTCTGGGCTGTGATAGTCTGACGTTCGTAATACATATCTGTATTCCTAACGCTACAGCCCTGTTGCCCCTTGTGGCAAACAGAAGCTCGCCACGGCTTCTGGAGGAGACTGATTGCCAGCCTCCTACTGAAAGACTATGGGCCTTTTAAAAACTTATGTGAACAGACTTGGTTCGTGGGATTTTATATTTGGTTCGGGAACTGAACAGGTGCACAAACCATGGACCACCCGGGAGCTTGTTAAACCCATAACACTTGGTAACGATTCTTACCACAGTACTATAATTGTTCGTCTGGCTGGCCGCCATTCATATGGTTGAACACGTGGCGGCAACCATCTTGTTCCTGCGAACGCAGGCAGCAGTGTTTGGTCGTCGAGTTCCTGGAACTGTTTTTGGACACTGAAACTCCTGAACACAGCTGGACTTCCATCATCACCTGTGCTTGGTTTTGTACATCATGGAAGGGCACTGTTTGGTGGAATCGTTTGTCTGGATGAGGGGAACAAGCTCCAGGGTAAGACTATTGACTATTGACTAAAACTATCAAACTAGATCGACCACAAGCCCTGATTATCTGGAACTTGTGTGCGATCGGTCAAATTATGACTTCTATGGAAATCCTGAACCCCTGAACCGATCTAGGTGATATTTGGATATGTTGGTCCCCCAGATCAGGGTTATCAGGGGATGTGACTTTTGTGGGGTTTGCATGTGTTTTGGAGTTACTTTTGGGATGTTGTTAAAATGTATGTTTTCTGTACCTGGAGATCATTAAGTTTAGTACAGTTCCTGACTAAATTATCTCTCAAGCACAGGGGAGGGATTATCCTGTTTTGTGTGGGAGTGTCCTGGGCATGTTTGCTGTAACTAGTCTCCTCTCAGGTCCAGTGGGGAACGCTCTCACCATAGAACCTCATCTCATGCTTGGAGGGAACAGCTATATTCACTCTGGGGATTGCTATACTCCTTATACTCTCTTGGATTATAATCACTTGTTCTTTTAAGAGTATACTGCTTTTACTCTCTGGATTAGGAGAGGTCTACCCACTGGAAGCTGGATCCTGGTCTTGGGTCCAGGGTGGGTGGAGGACAGCGAGACCCCATCCAAGCTGTAACGCTGGCTACAGGGACTACAGTGATTATGGTGTCAGGCGGAGTGCTTGGACGTATTCAGAGTTACTAGGAAGAAGCGAATGGCGGAGGAACCCAGTTAGGTTGCCAGGAGGTCCGTCACCACCCTTATCAATTAGGTCCTCCCCCATCCACTGTGGAAAAAAAACCAACTAATTACCCACCTTTTCTCAAGTGCCTTCGCATCCTCCTTGGTAGGCATGCCTTCAGGATGAAAGGCCAATCCAATGAGAAGTGCTTATGATTCTTCCATAGAGAATCAATGGTTCTCTATGGTCGACAGTGACGGCACTGCGCATGCTTACCAGACGTCACGGTTTGAGAACTGTTAAGTAAGATTCACGGCTCATTATACCCAGAGAGCTTAGAGGCGCGGCTTGAAGCTGCACTTTTAAGCCTTCTAATTCGCTTAATATTGGGTTTTGGGGAGTAGGACTGTAGGAATTATAATAACTTCGATAAGATAAGGTTGTTAAAGTGCCTACAGTGTCACTTTAAGTTTGTGTTTCTTTAATAAGTGTCAGCATTAGAATTCTGATTTCCATTTGGCAAACAATAAGAAATAGTAAGTCCATTTAACTAAAAGTTTGAATACCTGATAAAGTAAAAAAAATAAATAGGTGTGCTTTGGATAATTTTACACCATTAAAGTGTACCTTGTGCCAAGAAAGGTTGCAAATCTCTGATCTATATAGTCCATCCTGGAGTGTTCCTTTAAAAACATTTACTTTAAAATGCACTTCAATGGATGGTTTAACAATAAAAGGAAATGCTTGTTACTTGAGTATTTATATCTCATGAATCTTGATATATACAACATATGCCATTATAATTTTGATAACTTTTTCATAAATTGTTTGTTTTTTTCCTAACAGAAGGACTAAGGAATATTTCGAACAATCTATCCATAACTACAAAGATTGATCGTGAACACCCAGAAACGAGGGATTATGCAAAATTGAAAGGCTGGTGGGATGGAAAGAAGGAGTTTAACTTTGCAGCCACTTACTCATACTTCAACCCATCTAGATCCTCTTCCTCTGGAGACAGATTCTGTGAAGGTTACAAGTTGCTTAGGAAACATAAAGGTGGGCTAAACACATTTGTTTTCCTTTACTTTTAAAGCCTAGGGGGAGCTCAGTTCGCACATTCACCTGCAAATACAGAAATGTGAAATTGCTTTGAATGTAGTTGTGATCCAATTGACTTGAATGTAGACTTGGATTGTGAGCACAACTCAAATTACAAGACCTTCACAATTTACTGGTATCACAGGAAAAATACATTTAGAAGACCTTCCGTTCCGTTAGTGTCATGTCTGTTCCTTTTCAGAAGTGATCAAACTTCTTATGAGTTAATCTAAAATATATTTATATTATATTAAATAAGAGTTTCAGCATTCACCTGAATATGAATACATCATTTGATTTTTCTATTTTGTTCGTTTGCTGCTCTATATGGTACTTTTTTTTTATACCTACGGGCAAGCTGGCAACTTTTACGTGGGGTTCAAGTGCAAGCAAATGGCTGTTTTTGCTCACAGAACTCACACATGCATGTGTATATTTGACAGATGGGGGCTGCTGGAGTTGGGAAGTGTGTCAGTATGGTCTGTGCAGTGTTAGTGAGCATTCATAGAGGGCTGTGCATGCCTCACAGTTACAGACATTATTTCTGCAACTGCATTACCACCAATGCCAAATGGCTTGTGTTGTTCTTTTCAAGAACACTGTCTATATCACCGTGCAGTCACTTGATGTCCTATAGGGACATCATTCAGTCTCATCATAGTCTGGTCATGCTCAGATACTAGTCCAGGTCTGGAGAATATATAGGTTGCAGGCCATTCCTAGGACAATTCCTACCTGCTGCTTCACATCTTCAGTACGCTATCCAGATATCCCAATGCATCTCCTGTTATTTTAATCCACTTTGGCGGTAATTGCTTGCCTGTCCCCTTGTAATTTGAGTGTGAATGCATTTTTGCAATAGTACTTGATGTGTTATTTGACTGGCCATTTGAATATTGTTACATTATGCTGTTCCTTATCCACCATTGTCTTAACACACCGTAAACGTTACTTTTTTACTTTTTAAAAAAAAAGGAAATATGACCCCCTCAACCATGATGGAAATCCTTTCTGATAAGAAAAGTGGAATTAATATGGAGGGAGGGTTTATGACAACAGGAAGCATGGTCTCTATTCTACCCCAAGATCTAAACCAGCCATGTGTCCACTTCTTTACTGGCACACCAGATCCTGCAAGGTAAATAAGCTTCACAAATCTGTCTTCATTGTGACTTTGAAATCCATTTTAAAACATCAACATTTTCCGAAGTTCATTCACTAAATGAGATGATGGTCAACTTTCTAAATTTTGGCCAAGATAGTTAGAATTGATTTCCTCAATTGCCTATTTTTTACCTGGATTTTACAAATGTTTATACATTTTACACATGTGGCCCTGCAAGTAGGTAATAACCCTGTCCACCTGCCTGTTGGTTATCATCACACAATGTCAAACAAATCCCTCAAACTCTTCATCTTGAGTCCATTGAAATGGTCCTAATGTAAAACAAAAACTTATGAAGATATTGAGAAAGAATTTTCAATATTAAGTGTTATTCACAAAAACCTGGGACTTGTAGACTATTGACATAGGAATTTGCCATTATAGCCTAAAATAGCCAAACTGGGTCAAAATGAAAAGTTTCTCCCAGAATACTGCCCCTCACTCGTACAATTGTGTTATTTACTTTTCCTTTAAGCTGTTTATTTAAAGACTTTTGATTATTGTACATTTTTGTTCCTAGATCTGTTTTCAAGCCATTCATCTTTGTGCCACAGATCCAGCCTTTTATAAAGACCGTGTCACCTTGCTTTGGTTCAAATGACCCTGTCAAGGAAAAGCCACGATTTCAAACGAAACCAGACAGAAGACACGATCTGTACAAAAAACATGAGACTGCCTGGACGACCTTAGAACCGTCGCAAGTAAGATATTTATTTCATTACTTCTGTAATTGTAACTGGGTTTTATGTTTTTGGAGAGTCAGAAATAGATATTTGCCCTTTATAGGAATAGTGATGTCCCATGCCCCCACACAGCTAGGGTTAATATTAAAGGGTTACTCCAATCACCATAACCATTTCCGTGATTTGAAGTGGTCATGGTGGTAGGACTCAGTTTGTGCAGTGTTTCGGTTTGAAATACTGCATGTACTAAGATATTTGTAATTGTGTGCTGGGGGCTAGTTGCACCCTCAGCAAATGTGACATTGGCAGGCCAGAACTTTGGTCTGGGTTCCCTAATGTAAATTCTGAGCATAAAAGCATCTGTTGTCTGTTGGACCGTGGTGCCCCAGTGACATCAGGATGGTGCGTGGAAGAGCAGTGCCAGAAGCTTCGTATAGTTCTGGATTTCAGGTAAGTAAATGTTTTACTAAGAATTGAAAGGCATCTACTCCACAGTGCCTAATAAGGCACAGTACAATAGAATGGTCCCTCCTCTATAAAAGGGTTATGGCAACCCTTTTAAATAGTATTACATTTTATTAATACCTGCGGCAGGCAACCATTTAATCACACTGGGCCTAGACTTAGCAGCAGAAGTGTTACTAGAAATCACAGAGCCCTAGTGCAAGTATCAAAGAAAATACCCCCCTCCTTGCTCCCTATAAGCAATATGCCTGAGTGGCATGTGTGTGTTGGGTGAGAGTGATTGTGTGAGTGTTGGCTGAGTATGATTCTCTGTGGGGCTTGGGTGGGTGTGATTGTCATATGTATGTGTGTGATTGGCTGAATGCGATTTGTATATGGGGTTTGGCTGTGTGTGAATGTGGTGTGATTGGTCCTGCTTGGGATCACTTGCCTAAACATAGCAGTAACTTGTGCTGACTTGCTGGTTTCACTGACCGCACACTAGCGTCAGTGCATCTTATCCTCTCCCACCTGCTGGGAGAGTAACAGCGACAGAGAGCGAGAGGACCACCTCTCACTCAATATACGGCATTAGACCATTTGTGCCACTAACTCATTGGTCTAGTGTGGAGTGTTGAGAATTTAATTTATACGCAGAGTAGGAACCTTATTGTTCAAGAGCTTTAAGTGAAAATCTTTACATTTGCTAGGATTTCTGCTGGCACAAAAACCAGATGGAATTTAATGTTCTTTTATATACACTTAACTATAATACACATTTATTAGTAATGTATGCACATACATATATGCATATTACTACAAATCAAATGAATTGAGTGAAATAATTGTTTTAATTAAATATTTTCATCCTTTTAAGCACACACTTTCAATGACCCATACAAGCACTTACTGGCACACACTGTTTAACCAACACACACTCTTACGGACACACACACACACACTGGCATGTAGTTTTATTTATAGTGTTTCATTTAGCTATTAGCTCATTCTAATCCACCCAGCCTTACCTACTTTTGGAAGAGTTGGAGTAGATCTTCTCTCTGGGGTTAAGTGTGTAGCTGCTCTGATGTTCTTTCACTTTCAGCATGGCTCCCTCGTGCGTAGTTTAAGGATGCCAGATTCTGTCATCACCACAGTGTGCGTTAGGGAGCTGTACTGGAAGAGCATGAAGATCAGTGCTCCCTCGCTGCCCTGGCGGTCTCCCTCTGGACAGTATTTCGACAGAGTAGGAGTCTGCCGTCCACACACAACCCAATACACAGACAGGCAAACAAACAGTTACACACAATGCTATACACACACACAATAAGGGTATTTTGACCACTGTCCTTTTTGCTTACCAATTGCAGGAAGGTGGCTTTACTGGCAACAAGGCTAGCCAGGCCCAGTCCTGCTGCCTCTTGTCCAAACTTCTTATAAAGTTTGATATTTATCTGGGTGACTGTGTTAGGAGACTCAGGGCAGTATAGCCACTACCACGAGCTGTCTTGACTGAACAGTGCATACCAGTAGGAAATCTGGATAAGCCCTCCAGAATTACAAAAAAACATTTTACATATGAAATACATTACGTTTACTGTCACTGCTAGCTTGAATTGCTCATGGCCAATATCAACACTGACCGTGGCATCTAAATTATGACTTACTAATTGATTGATTTATTTTTTTATCCCTGCGTTCACAGAGAAAAGAGATACTGGAGAAAACAAAGATTTTGGAAAAACAGAAGCTCAACGAGATCGAACTAATTTTAAACAATCCAAGTTCTGACAAATCTTCTCTGGTTTTACTGTTTCCCAAGTGTGTGAATGAAGAACTGTCAATTTATGAATTACATTGTACCAATTTGTAGGTATTGTATCCTACCTTATTATAAACTGTGATATTCACAAGACAATAGACTAATTTAATCCATGTTAAGGCATCTTGAAGATGTCAGAATAGTTAGCAATGGATTGATATTGCATTTAGCTTAAATGTACCTTTTAAAGTAGAGAGGCTTTCTCTTGCTTTCTATAGAAGAAATAATGTTTTTGTGTAATTGCATTTAATTGTATCTATTGCACAATATACACACCCAAAGAACAACATGAATGGATTTGTAAAGAGTGTAAGGCTTTTATCACACCTACCTTCATAACCAGATGAAAAGAACACCAACGAGCACTAATTGTGTGGATTAAATGCTCCAACATGAATGAAATATCAATGGCCAGGTATCACATGTAGATGTGAGGACATTAGAGATAGCCAATTGTGGAAGATATAGAAGATTAATCCCTACGCTGTTGAGAATAATACATTTGGCATTGGAGAGTTATCTGCAGTTAAATTGTGAGGGATTCTCCCTTATACTAGTGTACGCTTCAATTGTGCAGAATGGTTTTGGTTGTGGTTTCCCTGAAACAGATGGAATGATTACAGCTTAAATAAATTCACCATGACTCCAGTTGAGGGTTTTTTGTTTTTTTTTGTGTGTGTGTTTTTTTTAGGATTTAAATTAAGCTATCACAAAATATTATACATAAAGTACATTTTTCTGGTTATCTGCAACCAGCACCATCATACTAAAGTTGTTTAAAGGTGTCACCCTGACATGCATCAGTCAGAAGAAGTTATTTACGAACATGAATCTTAGCAAAAGGCTCTAGGAGGGCAAATATGAAGGATATAAATCCGCTGCTGCTGCTGCATCTGCATCTGCATCACGTGTCCATATTAACCAGTCAGTAAAACACATTTTGGTCAGATGTAGCCCACGTGATTGGGCAAAACGCATCACACAGGAGGAGGGCCTTTCTCTCTATGATTTGAACTACACGGTTATTCCCGCGTAACTCTACATTGATGAAGATGTTTTGGTATATAGATCATGCCCTTGCAGTCTAACTGTTCAGTTCTCTCAAGAGTTAAATCACTTTGTTTATGCAGCCCTAATCCCACCTCCTTGCATGTGACTTGCACAATATTCCTAAGCACTTCCTGTAAAGTGAGATCTAATGTTTATACTTTATTGCACAGCCACTCTAATTAAGCATTTCTTGTCAAATGTTCTGTTAAGAGCTTTTTTAGACCTTGCAGGAGTCTCCTTTATGTGACTAAAGGTAATTTACAGAGCAGGAGATAAAAACATTTGAAGTAATCAGTTGACATCTGATTGAAAATTAAACCATTTTTCCCCTTTATGCAGGGAGGTGTGTCTATGGTTGCATGGACAGAGTGGTTAGGCACAGTGGATTCATGTTTTATCTTGGTTTTTCTTTCAAGTAAGCTTTACAGTAGAAATAATCTGCTTACAGTTTTAGACATTTACTACAGTAAGCTTTCTCCACTGACACATTTCTTTAGTATGGACATGGCCCAAGATAGCTAATAATGCACTAACTAATGATATCATATCACATGAGGTTAAGTCCAGGATGTACAGCTTCAGCTGAAAAAGCAGCCATCTGGGACTAACTCTTACGAATTTGTAGGCAGCCCTGGGGTGTGTTTTCCAAAACTATAATTATACTAAAGTTCTCTAACACACTAACCATAACCTAAAAATATAATTTAATATAAATGATACTGAACAGTAAAACTTGTATTAAATAATAGTCTCATGGCTTATTATTATTAGCATTAGATTATGATCATCACCGCAGCATTATTTTCCCATATGGCAATTCGAAAGCCCTTTTTTAAATACTAGCTTTGACTTCCAAAAATCTCACTGGACAGGTTTATTTAGCTTGTTGAACTGTGGATAAGCATAACTTATTCTATGAGGTTTTTTGTTTTATGTTTTATAGCACATTCACAAAAAGGACACATAACAGTTTCTATGTAGAAGCATTTAGTAAAAGGGACACTAAACGCCATTACAGCTCACTATTTTTCATTATAGAAGCTGTCCAAGCACTCACATTTTAAATTAAGCAAATTTCGTGTAGCCTCCTGTAAGCAAATGTCATCAAATGATTTAAGAAGCTAGGAGGTTGGAACGACCCCACTAAATATTTTGGAGTACATGTTGAAAAGAGTGTGCTTTAACCCCTTAAGGACAGAGCTTCAGAAGCTTGTCTTTCACTTAATGACAACAGCATTTTTTGCATTTTTTTGCTGTTTGCGTTCAACTGCAATTTGCATTTTACTAATTTATTGCACCGACACATATTTTATATATCGTTTTTTAAAGGACAGAAAAGGCTTTAATTTGATGTAACATACATATATATATATATATATATATATATATATGCTTATTTATTATAAAAAAAATACAGAAATATGCAAAAAAAGACAATTTTTGTGTTTTTTTTTTTTTACAGTTTTTGCAATAATGTGTGCATAATTAGTGCAGGTTAAGTAAAGTAATTAAAAATAAATTCATTTAGTTGTTCTGATTTACAGAATATATAATGTGTCTGGGATTTAAAGTTTTTTTTGGTAGTTACAGGTCACAAAGCACAAGGAGTAAAATAAACTTTTAATGTGGAGCGATGTTAGAATTTGGTATGTTTGTATTGTAAGCTGAATAGCCATAAAAGAAAACAAAATTGCCACACAAAAGTATATATTTATCTAAAGTAGACATCACAGGCTATTTACCTAGGGTTGTTTTGACACTTTCTATGTAGCCATTTCACCACCAACCTCTGCTAAATATTGGAGTAAAATAGTTTTTTTGGTTTTTTTGGCTCACAAACTTATAACTTATGTGTATTTTGTAAAGTTGGTGTGTGCTATTCCTGTACAAAGTTTTTTTTAATTTTGTGTTCAGTTACATCTGCTGAGTAAAATGACACCCCTATTGTATGTCTCTGGCACTATTTCGTGAAGCTACAGTGCCATATAGGAGACCTGTCCTTTTCAGTAATCACAGTAGAATTTTGAGAGACGGATTTAATGAGCCTATGCTTCCATTTGGGGTATTATAACAGTTTGACTGTTCAAAAAAAACCCACAAAGGCCTACCATTTGTAAGAGTAGACACTCCAGGGTATCTCATAAGGTGCAAATTGTGCCTTAACATGCCCCCATTTTTTCACCAATAGATGCCAAAGTATGTGGTAAATAATTGTGTGTTTTTTACATATGGATTGCATTTTTGCTGGGCATTTTGTATATTTGACAGGTGCCACTAAGTTCAAACCCCCCAAATTATGTTCAGCTAAGTCTTCTGAGTAAAATGACACCCCCATTGTATGTCTTTGGCACTATTTCGTAAAGCTACAGTGCCATATAGGAGACCAAGCCATTTCAGTTTTTACCTTACTTTGAATTTTGACGCTGGGCCTATGTGCAATTTCCAAGCATCTTAGCAGGTTTTAAATTCAAACTACCCCACAAAGGCCTACAATTTCTTAAGGTAGACACCCCAGGGTATTTCAAAAGGTATATTCTAAACCTTAGCGTAGGATCTTTTTTTTTGTTAGTTTGTACCAAGTCTAGTTACAATTAGCATTTTTTCTGCCTTTTTGACACACACACTTGGAGATGTTACTGTATATTTTGCAATCCTTATGTGTGTTACGGCAGTATAACACCTAATATGTTGCTCAGCTATGTCATGTTAGTGCAACGATAACCCAATGTGTACCTTTCTCAGGGTTATGTGGATGTTGAAGGGGCACATTGGAGACACACCACTTCCATATTTTTCAAAAGTGGATGCTGGGCCCAAGTCTCATTTTAGCAGCTCAGGACTGCAAATTACCTCTCAAAGGCCATATATATTTTTAGGTATAAGCAGCTCATCAATTCAAATTATGAACAAGTGCATACTATTTGTTGTGAAAAGGGGGAATAGTTGGGGTAAACTTATCTGGGGGTAGTACCCAGGCAAAGCTGTCATGGATTCCGAAACCAAAACACAGACAGACCACAAAGAGAAAGAACACAGAAAGAGAAACTTGTAATACCGGTCCTTAGAATGGCCGGGCTATACAAGCAGAGAATTGTCAAGGTACAAGCTGAGGTCAAAGGAATAAAGAGAAATGGAATGATAGGACAAGCCGAGGTCAAGGATCAGAGAAGACAGGATAAGCGGGAGACAAAGCCAAGATTCGGTAACCAATCAGACAGATGACTAAAAATCACACCCCAAAACTGGTCTACTTATTCGGCCTGGGTGTGAAAAAAGTTAAAACAGTGGCCAATACATAGTCCGGGCTGAGAGGGGCAATCAGGGCAGTAATAGCTGGTCTCAGCTCTTACGCCCCTCTTGTAGCACACCCTGCACCTTTTCTGGGGGGTTTGTTTTTTAGGGGTTGGTGGAATCTTAAAGCAGAAGTGACCTGCCTCCATTCTTCTGCTAGGCTCCACTGATGGTCTCCTTGTGTGGCACTCAAGTAGCCCAGAAATGAGCTGAAACTGGAATGAAAGAAAAGTGCTTTTCAGCCCAGCATTTGCCTTTTTAAAAATGACAAAGGCATTGTGGATTGCCATCTGCATCAGATATATGCCCACTTTTTTATACCATGCCCTGGTCTTTCGCATGATCAAATACGGCTGCATCAGTTGATCGGACAGGTCAACGCCCCCCATATGCCAATTATATTGCCGTATGCAGACTGGCACACATTTACATTCCTCTCTGCCACGAACTGCGACCCTCCGAGTGTTTTCACCATGGATGGTGGTTAAGATGAAAACATCCTTTTTATCCCTGTACTTGAGTGCCAGCAGTTCATTCTGGCAGAGAGCTGCTGTTTCCCCCCCTTTTCATTTTTTTGTTCGCTAGTGCCTTTGGGAAACCTGTGCGACTCTTCTGAATAGTGCCACAGGCCACGGTCTCGAAGCAGTACATTTTTAACAGTGGGATGCTATTATAAAAGTTATCGATGTATAAATTATAACCTTTATTAAGTAGTGGCATTATTAAGTCCCAGACAATTTTCCCACTTGTCCCTACTATATCTGGGCAACCTGGGGGGATCAAGGTGGCTATCCCTTCCTTCGTATACATGGAAGGTGTATACTTAGCCACTGCCACTTTCACACAGTTTATAAAATTTTATCCCATATCGGGATCTTTTGGATGGGATATATTGTCTAAACCCCAGTCTTCCCTTAAACTTCATGAGGGACTCATCAATGGAAATGTTTTTATTGGGGGTATATATAGTGGCAAATTTACTGTTAAAGTGGGAAATTAAAGGGCGTATTTTATAAAGAAGATCATACTGCGGATCACCTTTTGGGGGGCACTTGTTATTGTCACTAAAGTGCATAAATCGCAGTATGTCTTCATATCTTTCCCTCGTCATTGTCTCTGCAAAAATGGGGGTATTGCAAATAGGATGTTTAGACCAATACATCCTAATTGTGGGCTTTTTAATTAGCCCCATTAACACGGTCAGTGCCCAGAATTGTTCCAATTCTGGCACACTGGTTGGGTTCCATCTCTCTTTCCTACAGATAAGAGAGTCTGGATTGCGTGCCAGATACTGCTCCGCATAGAGATTAGTCTGGATGACCATCTTCCCAAAAATCTCATCCCCCAAGAACAGCTGCATAACATCCAGGGCACTATAGCCAGACAGGTCAGCCTGTATGCCAGGATTGGCTGTAAACACTGGGATGTCTGGGGAAAAATTATTAGGGGGTACCCAGTCATCTGCGCCATGTTCAGCATTAGGGGAATTGTCGATTTCCCCTGATGTTCCTGCAGTATCTGGCACATAGTCCCTGTCCCCTGCGTCACTCTCTGAGGCAGTGTCTGTCGCCTCTGAGTCGGCCGCTAACAGGGCATAAGCCTCCTCTGTACTATACTTCCTGAACGTTGTTAAATACAGTTAACACAGCTAACAAAACTTTAACTAAATAACTAAGCTTTTTTAAATTTATTTATTTTATTCCCTAATTCCCACTAAATTCCACCCACCCAAGTAACAATCATAAACTAATAAAATCAAATAATAAAATTTAACCCCTTAGGGTTACAAAAAACATAAAATTTAACCCTTGAAAGTAAAAAAAAAATAAAAAAAAAAAAAATAGATCACAGTAAAGTACTGTGACCTGTATATTGATCACTGCTAGCAGTGATCAGGCAGCAGGAAAAGGGTTATTTTTTTAAAAAAAATAAAGGGGAAAGGGATTAGGAACCTTTTATAGATATTCACTATTCTTCTGGGACACAATGTTGCAACGATCAGTCTCTCTCCACTTCACAAACCCACACAAGGTGGAGGGAGGCGGATCAGATATCCCAGCAGCATTGTGACTGCTGTGACTGTCCTGACTCGGAGGCACCCAGCAACAGCGTTAACCCCGTGATCACCGGCACTGCGGTGATCGGGGGTTAATTTTAACGCGTGACGGACAAGGTCCATCACTCGTCATTAACGCTTTCCCCTGAGTGACGGACCTTGTCCGTCACTCGTCTTAAAGGGGTTGAAAAAACAAACAAAAAAAAACAGGGACAGGGTCTTTGCAACATAACCACAACTCTATGATGTAGTGGTTATAGTGCTTATTGTGACTCCTAGTGCATGATCATGTTAAAATAAAGCAGAGAGTACATTTTATTTTGTAACAATCTTGGAGTCTTTATTAAATTAGTTTGTAATCTGTTTAATAAGAACCATGTGCTTGTCATTTGCCATTGATTCCTATAAGAAAGTTCTATATTTCAAAATAAAATGCAAGGTTAAATATTAAAATGTATACCTTTATTGTGCAAACATAACATCAAGAGATACCATACATCACATTTAATCAATTATGGCCACTTGTTGCAAATGTGAAAACTTTCAACAATTGGTTCGCTATAGGGAGCAGGGCTGTATTTTGAGGCACAAACACCATTTTACAGTTGGCACAGTGTAGTGGAATTTAGTAGACTTGTGCAATAATTGGTTTCAGCCAGTTCGCCCAAATCCAATTTATTTTCACTAAAGCTAAAACATATAGATTTGCTTGGGATTTATTTGTTGAATAAGACTCCACAATAATATCTCGGATAGATCCATTCATTCAAGTGTGGATTAAAACGAATTTGATTTGAATAAACCAGCTTAAACTAATTATTTGCACAAGTCTAGTATTTGGCTTCACTGAAAACATTAGCAGTGATGTCTCTAAAACTCAATGCTGGCTGCCTTTTCATAGTAAATGCCACTAAAACACACTCGACCACTCTAGCATAGCAAAGCATAGCATCGCATGACTCCGCCTTTCAGTGTCACAGCACATCACTCTTACCTCTCTGGTCCTAACAGGGAATTAAAAGACATGAAAGGTTTACTAGGGGATCCTGGACCTCCCTATTACCGATGAGAGAACTAAGAGGTTCTCTTTTCCCCCATTCAATATGTAAAATCACGTCAGTCTCCTAGTATCGCATGAAGGGCACAAGTATCTATCCTCCTAAAAGTGAGCAGATGGCAAAGTGGGGGTGAACATGCTGCTATGCAACTCTGTGTTGCCTGTAGCTTGAGAGGGTAATATTATACAAGGGTGTTTTCAGGCGCTCTGTCTCAATTACTATCCCATTTGCATGTAACAGACCACAGGAATCTTAAGTGGTGAGGCCACAGATGTTAGCTCCTAATAAATAAATATATATATATATTTTTTTTAATTATTATAATATATAAGGTTGCCCTATCTAAGGACAATAAGTCTTAAATCAAAAATTAGTTAGACCATCCAGAAGTATGATTGGTTGAAAGACAAATGCATCTAAAAATCAATAGAAGGCCTCACTGAATATCCATGCTTGAGTTTACTCACTGCAGCCAGCCAGTTACTTTCTAGGGGGAAGCTGACCTTCCTTCTGGTCAGGTATCATTTTGTTACCCCAACACCCACCTGGCTATATTATGTTTGGCCTATTATTTATTTGTATTCATTTTAAAGATTCACAGAAGAGCTTAAGAATTGTATAATTAAAATAAGCAAATTGCTTCATTTCAAACAATTTAAAGGGACACTCCAGGCACCCAGACCACTTCTGCCCATTGGAATGGTCTGGGTGCCAACTCCCACTACTCTTAACCCTGCAAGTGTAATTATTGCAGTTTTTTATAACTCCACCTCTAGTGGCTGTCTACTAGACAGCCACTAGAGGGCACTTCCGTGTCCCTAGCACAGGAAACCTGTGCTAGAGCGTCGCTGGACGTCCTCACGCTGTGTGAGGACCTCCAGCGTCACTCATTTCCCCATAGGAAAGCATTGAAAAGCATTTTCAATGCTTTCCTATGGGGAGCTCTAATGCACATGCGCGGCATTGCCACACATGCGCATTAGGTCTCCCCGGCCAGTGGACGGGATCAGTCTCGCCCACCGGCCAACGCAATCACTGTGAGGAGCGGTAGCGGAAGAAGCAGCGACGTGGGACATCGTCGCTGCCGCTGGTAAGTTACTGAAGGGGTTTTCACCCCTTCAGCAACCAGGGATTGGGGGGTGGGAGGGAGAGGGGACCTGCAGTGCCAGGAAAACAGATTGTTTTCCTGGCACTGGAGTTTCCCTTTAAAGTCAGTTTCTGTAACAAGATTAGCAGTCATTTTATTATAAGGGGATGAGTGTGTACTGTCAGTTTGTGGTTATTAGATATTCCTGCCAGCAAACAAGTGACTGGCTGTTTTGTCCAGTATTAAGCTGAGCAATATACAGACTGATCAGAATATCCAGATAACACCATATACATCTAATTTCCTTTTACAATTTTGACATTACACATTTCAAAAGAAGGAAAACTTTGACACGTTTATCACAAAACCTAATCACTCATGAGCGGCAAAAGGTGATTTTTTTGCCAAGCACTTTGTCTATTAAAATTTATGTTGGCAATAACCCAGCGAAAGAGTGGCATATGTGTAGTCTAAATTAGACATTTTAATCTGTTAAGATTCAGTGTTTAGTAAATAGCCCTACAAGAGTGCAGGTTTTACAAACTTCTACCATGATTTTAGTCATCCCTTTCACCAGCGGAGGTGGATCTTCCGGAAAACCGGAGATCTCCTGATGGTCAAGTAAGAAGATGCACTGTATACAGGCTTTGAGGATCAGATATATACAGAACAAAAATAAAACACAAAACATACACCAGACACAAACAGTGAGGGCACCTACACAGCACTGTCATAAATAACAGTGCAGCCAACAAAATCCAAACAGACGATTTCCTGTCTCATATGCTGCATGCAGTTTGTCCCATTCACTTTAAATCTCATAAGGCTTTCCAAAAAGGAAACAAATTATTGATCTACAGCAACTGAAACAGATATATATGTCCCATATTCATCATTATATGCATACAATTATAGAAGTTCTTCGGAGTGCTTGTGTATGTAAAAGTTATGTATGTAAAAATCTGCTTTAAATCCGAGTGAATAGGTAGTACATCAAAATCATTCAACTCTGACAAGCAAAAGAGAGGCCCAGCTAAAAGTGTTGTGCTTCTCATTAAAAAGAATTGCATCCATAGAAAACGCTAAGAAACACTCTATTGGTATCATTTACCTTAGCTTGACAATAATTAACAAGTAAAACACTGACCAAAGAACAAATACGGAACTATAGAAAGTATACTTTTTAAATTCAGGCAAGCAGATCATATGTGCATGCTCCATTCAAACCACATATTTATGCACGTAAAACACTTATGATGCAGCAGCTTTAGACAATGCATAAATTGGCCACCAAAACTTGTGTGTTTGAGAAACCAAAGCTAAAAATTACCTATAGTTGCAATTTTACGGTGTATAAAAGAGTGGCTAAAGTGCTGTACCCTGCATAATGTCTAAATAAGCAGGAGTTCTGATACTAGTATCACTGAATATGCAAGTCAAAAACAACTAATTATTACAGCGCAACACATCCACACCCAGATAACCTCTTCAATTAAGGTGTGAAAAATAATTATTCTAATAAAATGCATAGGCTGAATTCTGTTTTAATCAACGCTATCTGCGGTTTTGTCAGCTGCCATGTATGAGAATAATGTATTCTGCACCATCCCAAAATGTACTGCAAACAGCATTATTGGTGTATGGGCTCATGACCCATTTGTTGTCATTGCTGTGTATGAAATACAGATTGGTACAAGCTAAACTCAAGAACAATTGGTGAGAAGAATTTAATTATATCAGGACACACGTATACAACTATGATGGGGCCAGTGACTTGTCTGTATAAAAATGGCGCTATTCAGGGACATTTCAACACACTGTATTAATAAGTCTTTATCAGTGTTACTCAGCAGTGTAAAATTAAATAGGACTACTTTAGAAACTTATTCAGGTCAGACCAGGGAAGCCATTTATATACTGATCAGCCACAACTTGAAAACCACCTGCCTAATATCGTGCAGGCACCCCTCGTGCTGCCAAAACAACTCTGATGCGTCAAGGCATGGACACCACAAAATCACTGAACATGTAATGGCACAAAGACATTTACAGCAAATCATTTAAGTCTTGCAAGTTGCGAAGTGGGGCCTCCATTGATCGGATTTGTTGTTTCAGCATATCCCACAGATGCTCAATCAGATTAAAATATGGGGATTATGGAGGCCAAGGCAACACCTCGAACCCTTTGTCATGTTCCTCAAACCATTCCTGAACAATTTTTGCAGTGTGGCATTGGGCATTATCCTGTTAAAAGAGGCAACTGCCATCAATGGACACCATTACCATGAAAAGGGTCTATGTGGTCTGCAACAATCTAGGTGGGTGGTATGTGTCAAAGTAACATCCATATGTTTCACAGTAGAACATTGCCTCCGCTAGCCTGGCTTCTTCCCATAGTGCATGCTGCTGCCATCTCTTCCCAATACACACCTGGCTATCCACATAATCTAAAGTATGATTAATCAGACAAGACAACCTTCTTCCGTTGTTCCATCGTCCAGTTCTGACATTCACGTCCATAATGAATGAGCTTTCGGCGGTTAACAGGTCAAAGACATTCTGACTGGTCTGCGGCTACGCAGCCCCCATACACAGAAAACTGTGATACACTGTGTGTTCTGACACCCTTCTATCATGTCCAGCATTAAGCTTTCCAGCACTTTGAGCTACAGTGGCTCTTCTGTGTTATTGGACTAGATAGGCTAGCCATCGATCTTAAAGTGCATCAATGAGCTTTGGGCACCTGTGACCCTGATGCCGGTTCACCGGTTGTCCAACCTTGCACCACTTTTGGTAGGTACTAACCACTACATACCGTGAACACCCCACAAGACTTGCAGTTTTGAAGATGCTCTGACCCAATCATCTAGCTAGACTTTGGCCTTGTAAGTCACTCAGATCTTTTCATTTGCCCATTTTTTTTTCTGCTTACAAAACATGAAATTCAAGAACTGACTGTTCACTTGCTGCCCAATATATCCCACCCTTGACAGGTGCCATTGTAACGATATAATCAATGTTATTCGCTTCCCCGGTCAGTGGTTTTATTGTTGTGGCTGATCAGTGTAGTTAAGGTTATAAGAAGCATACGCTTATATTCAGATAATAATGAGTGGTGTAGAGGGAGAGATTAACTATTGTTACAAAACAAATATTCAAAGCAATATACTTTATTTTAATGGGGAAATAACTTTCAGAAAGATGATTTTTGAGTTAATAGCATGACTAAATGTTTATTCAGCTCACTGTACAACATTGCCATGTAGTGGAAAAGTGAGAGATTTCTCACTCAATACTTTCCAAGTTAGTTATTCAGTAACTATAAAGGAGTCCATCCCCACGTCCTTCCCCCGAGATTGCAACATAAATTGTCTTTTTTCTTCCTTTAGATGTAGTAGAAGTGAGTCAAATAGAATCTGCACACTAAAAGGTTTCCTCATAATCTAGTTGAAATAACAAAATGTATTTAATCTCTTTGTAGATAGTTTTCAATTGCCAATACAGACTATACATCTATGCTTTTATTTCATTTTAAAGTATAGTATTAAAAGTTAAGCTTTATATTTGACATAATTGCGCAATTACACCAATTTCCTCAATCGCCATATTAATAAAGGGGTTACCCCCCACTATCAAATTGTTTCTAAATAATTTTCTAGGGATAATAATTTGCAGATTGTTTGTAAAACCAACCTCAAATTATTGGACCAGTCTATGGATAAATATTCCAATACGGTTTCCCATGCTTGTAAAAATATAAAAGTATACGCCTCCATTAGTTTTGATTTGTTACAGGGAACACAGTCATATGCTCATTACTAATAAATTAATTGGAGACATTGTTTAGTGAGTTTTTTTTTTTTTTTTTTATGGAAGCACACGACATACCAAAACTCTGCATTAGGAATTCCTGCCCCCTGACAGTGATTGGGAGTATTTTTTATGCATTATCTATAAAATACATTAAATTCTGCTACAATTAAAGCCTGAAAGGCCTGTTTAAGATAGCATAATTATTAAAATGTATTAATACTGCCTCACAAACTTGGGGAATACAGAACAAATATAATTACAAAATGCAGTTAGGAAGAAGAGATTTTAATGAACAGTCTTGTATGCCTGTAATGTATTAAGGGGGAACATTTATCAATATGCTATTAAATATATTGTTAAAACAAGGCGTTTTTCTGTTTTGGCGTTTCTGTGAACCTTACTCATTCCCCAGTGCAGAGGTACCACAAACTGTAAATTATCATTAGTAAAAGACAATGTTAAAGTGCCAGTAGTACATTACAAAACAACTAAAACAGGTAATAAAAAAATAAATAAAAAAAATCACATTGGCAGTCAGTATGAAGTAGCACATATCACCTCTCTCCAAAACTCTTCTTTAAAACCCCTCATTGTAAAGCAAAAGTCCATGTACTGATCTTTGAAATGAAACCGTCACCCAACCAGTAACAAGGCCAAGCAGCCCAATATAATCCTTTCAAATGAAGAACCAAAGATGTTGGGTGCAGTTTGAAGTACACAACTACAATGACCACCATTTCACACAAATGTATCAACACAGGCAATTCGTATCCTTTTAAATTCAGGACATGCTTATATGGCTTATGTCGAGAGGTTTTCCAAGTCATTAACACTTTAGAGAACTAAGTAAAATCAAATGAAATTTTGACATTTGTCCCATGTAGGTTTAGAAGAAAAAAAAAATGTCAATGTAAACTCTCTCTGTTGCAATTAAGCTTATTTTAGAACACAACATGTATGATTTTGCATAGACAGATACCAAAATATTTATGAGCTGCAATGTACACCTAGATTTGTTCAACATGCGCTCAAGTAAATCCATAGCTTAAGTACTAAAGCAGTCATAGACAAATCCTGGTCTCTATCAGTTAGACCGTGCTGGAACCCGTCTCTTCTTCACCATGCGATAGTAAAGGTTTTCATCCCTAAATTCATATTCATCTGTGATGTGCTGGATGACCCCTCCTTTTAGTAGTCTCTCTCCATACTTCACAGCCTCTCCTCGATCAGGAGCAAGTCCCACCTGCACAAGCCAGGTCACCAGATCAGAGCCCCAGAAGACTCCTGGGGACATTTGTGCGCCACACCTGCATATCAAAGGAATGATTCACCCACATGTTGTGTATCTCTTGCACCAGCGCTGCGTATTGGTCAGCAGGTAAAAGAAGAATAGAAAGATAAACAGGAAAGACAGTTGGAGATCAGAAAGCTAAAGCAGAATACGTTTTATAGACTAGGAGGAATGAGAAAAAAAAATGGGAAAAATTTAAAAAAAATTTAAATCTCCATTAACACTATTTAACCTATCGCATCTGAAAATTTAATGAAATGGACAGTATTCTGGAATTAGACACACTGTAATCCATGGCAGAATCAAGACTGTCCATCAGGTGTCTTTGAGTTGTTGGGGTAAAACTGAAAAATGGGAAGAGTATTTCAATAAATAAATAAATTTCTTCATTAAAATTATTGGTAAGCAGTGATATGAATACAATCATTAAAGGTACACTCCAAACACACAAAAGCACTATCACTTGCTAAAGTGTTACCCTTTTCTCCAAAGGAGTGTTCTTTTAACATAAAGTAGGAATTATTCCTAATTATCCTGGTTTTAAAAACACTCTAGTCACCATCACAACTCTGCATAATTGCAAAGGTGATGCACTTTCATCTCTGAGAGGGGCAGAAAATGAGAAAATCAACTACAACTGAGGGAAAATAGTTGCAGTCCATGGCTTTGCTGATTGGTGCAGTAGTCAGTTTGGTAAAGAGTGGACTGTGCTTTGTGCAATCAGATAGAAGCCAGGGTACGTACGACTGCTATCAATATACCGAGCAGTCTATGTGATACGTAGAACTGGTCTTGGAGACAAACTACTTATTTCTTAAACGCCAACTAGGCAGAGTTTTACAGTAAAAGCAATGATAGTGCATCATAGAAAACTTTAAAAAGTATATTTATTACTTTATTTTAATGCACTATCTATATAATGCATTGAAAACAATAGGGAACACATTTTATCCCACAGTTTCTGCTTAAAGGTGGTTTGAAGTAGACCATATTTTAGTAGAATTAAATCAATTCCTATGTCTATTTTTTAACTTACTGAATTCCTTTATGTTTTTGTTTATTTTTTATCTTCATTTTTTTTTTTCTGTAACTGAAGCTACTTGTATCAATGTGTGCAGGTACTGCAGGTTCTTTATTGGAAAATGAAAAGTCACATAGGAACAGAATAGACGGATAGGAGCTTAGCTTCTTTCAGTATACATTACCTTCTCTCTTTCACAATGTTCCTGACACACAAATCTTTGTGATAATGTACAAACTGATGGCACGTCATACGGATTTCTTCAGGTAAAGTGGTTTCTACAGTATTCACGTTCGATTCCCGACTACTCCACAGGAACTCTAATCTACAAAAAAAAAAAAAGAGAGAGAACAAAGAAAAGGAATATGTAAAACCCAAGAAACATTTTTAACCAGAATTACTTAGAACAGGGTTTCTCAACCTTTTATGGTAAAGTACCCCTGCTTCAAGAAAGTATTTTTTATTGATTTTAATTCCAAATTAAAAGTATTGACACTGATGATATTTAACCCCTTAAGAACCAGACTGTTTTTGCGACCAGGCATCTTTTTACACTGTTGTGGTGTTTACTGTTCCTATACAAATGATATATTGTTTTTTTCAGGACAAAAGGGGCTTTCTTTACATACAATTATTTATATAATCTCATGTAATTTAATTTAAAAAAAAAATGAAAAAAATATGATGAAAAATTGAAAAAAATAAAAATTTTTACTTTTACTTGAAAAATCTTTTACTCATCTACAAAAGCGAATGAAAAAAAATGCTAAATAGATTCAAAATTTAAAAGTTTAAAAATACCCACTGTTTACATGCTTTTTTGCATGTTATAGGGCTATAAGTACAAGTAGGTTGTTGCGGTTTCAAAACATACATTTTTAAAATTTATCAATAGTGATATTGTAACACTATTATCTGTCATAAATCTCTGAATAACACCCCACATGTACATTTTTTTTTTAAAGTAGACAACCCAGTGTATTCAATATGGGGTATGTCCAGACTTTTTTAGTAGCCACTTAGTCGCAAACACTGGCCAAAGTTAGCTTTCATATTTGTTTGTCAGTGAAAAAAGTAAAAAACTAAATTGAACGCTAATTTTGGCCAGTGTTTGTGACTAAGTGGTTACTAAAAAAGACTGGACATACCCCATTTGCAATACCTTGGGTTGTCTTCTTTTGCAAATGGTATGCCATCATGGGAGGAATTCTCATTCCCGGGCTACCATACGCTCTCAAAGGCAACGTAACCAACCTGGCCATTTTCAATGTAAAAATATTTGAGCCATATATTTGACCCTGTAACTTTCAAAAACGCTATAAAACCTGTACATGGGGGGTACTGTTATACTCAGGAGACTTTGCAGTACATAAAATATTAGTGTTTGGAAAACGTATCACAACAATTATATCATCAGTAAAAGTGCTGTTTGTGTGTGAAAAATGCAACAAAAATCACTTTCACTGACAATATCATCGCTGTGATATGCTTTACTGTTTTGAATCACTAATATTTGTGTTCAGCGAAGTCTCCCGAGTAAAACAGTACCCCCCATGTACAGGTTTTAGGGTGTCATAGAACGTTACAGGGTAAAATACAGCGCTAGCAAATTAAATTCTCTGGACTTTCGGCCTGGGTTGGCAGGCAGGTCCCTCAAATTGCAATCAATAAAATTACTTAATTATGTAAAAATATTACATAAATACGCACGCAGAATTTAAATATATAAGCATATTTATATATTTGAAGTCTACGTGTATATTTATATAATTATTTATGTATTTTTTTATATGGACATATATGGACATATGTATATTTCGTATTATTTTTATTTATATATACAATTTCATTCTAAGTGTATTTTGATATATATATATATATATATATATATATATATATATATATAAAAATATATATATATTAATATCAAAATACAGTTAGAATAAAATTTCATATAGATATATAATGTTTTTAAAATGTATTATTAGGGGGGGGGCGGAGCCCGGCTGCCGAGCTAACAGGTCGCACCAAGAGAGAGCTCCGTATGAGAATCTGTTAAAATTCTCACAAATCGACATTTAAAGAAAACACCACAGAGAATTTGATTGCTAGAAGAAGTCGGTGAATACCGGAGTTACACCCGGCGGAGCTCCCACACGAAGAAAAGCAACGAGAACGTTATGACGACCTGCGGCCTAGCAAAGGTGGCGGGCATGAGAGCAGAGGCCGAGCTCACTGCCAGCTACCCGAAAAACGGCGGTGGCTGGGAACCCCGTATCCTCCCCCCAGCCGGTGGGGGTTATCCCGGCACAAGCGGACAGACTATACCCCCGAGCTATGAGAAGTGCCAACCAACTCACCTGCATCTGAGGCCGGTGCGCAGCTCTGACTCTGAGGGCAAAATGGCGGCTGACATGCTGGACTGCTCAACACAAGGCTCACAGGGGACACTCGAGGAGCGGTTGGACGCTTTATTCTGTGTGTTCTGGCAGAAACTTCAAGACAGAGGCAAGCAGGCCGAGACCAGTACTCCGGACACTCCCTCCCTCCAGGCAAGCAAGAGGCGGAAAACATCCACTGCCCCCATCTCGGAGCAGCCGACAAGACGAACCCACCCAGCAGGTACCTACCCAGATCCCACGAAGTCCGGGGCTCGCCACAGTCCTCATGGGCGGAGGGTCCAGAAAAGGAAGGCCCTGGTGCGCAGCTCACACATGAGAAAGGCAAAACTCCAATCCCAAGCGGCGACCAAACTCCCCAGAGACCAAACACGCAGCGGCAGATCATGCCGGAGCAGGAGGACCTGCACGTGGGCCTCTGAACTGGCTCGGGACCGGCGGGGCGAGCAGCCCCGGAAGAATGAGACACTTAGCGAGACTCTGATAGCCTACAGGGCATGTCACAAGGTGTGGGGCATGAGGGGATCCTTGCAGGGGACTTTGGGACTCTCACCTCTCCCCTGTCGTGTTGGTGTGGGCTGAGGTAGCACTATTAAGGCTTGATGGCTGAGGGACATGGGTGTTGTTAAGTTGTTGAATGCATACCCAGACCAGGTGTTGTTAAGCTGTTGAACCCTTAAGTTGTTGAATGCATACCCAGCGATTTTGATCTATACCATACTCCTACTATATTAACTTGCTATAACTCTCCCCTAAAGCAGCCACTCCACGCAGTCAAGCCTGTACTCATATAGCAAGTCCAATGCTAGCAATGTCTACATACTCTTACTAACAAGTACTCAGCCGAACTCCATTCAGACATATGCACCTAGCCTGAACACACTACACAGAAAATCAGTGCTGTAATGCCACATGACTAATGCCCAATGTGATAGTCACAACACCTGGCTGAGCAGGCACCCAGTGCAATTCCTTATGTTGAGTACGCTAACCGGATGCTTACTAGTCTTGCCTTACTAAATTTCCACTTAATTTCCTTTTATTGCACCCCATGTCACAAGCCCTACAGGCTTCAAAGACTATAATCGCAGCTCCAGAGGGAATTTAATCCTGTCCGTCTACTGTTTAAGCATGATCAATAATCTTAGATAACACTCTTTGATTAGGCAATATTATACATATTTTATTTAAAAACAAAAAATTTTGTGCCTAAATATCAAGTGTCACATCTTGTATTGCATATTGAATTGTTATATACCTCGATCCCGCTGTTGTGGCATATTGAGGCTGTTTGTTTATTTGTGCACAACAAAAATAAAGAATTACAAAAAAAAATGTATTATTATTTTTACTTTTTTTTTTTAATTTAATTTACTTACTATTTGTATTTTATAATATATAATATATATATATATATAAAATGTCCAAATACTTGCACTCCTGTGATAGTAGGTTAATGCCCGGTGCTGATAAGGCGAATAACATAAAAAATAAAGTAGTAGGTAATAGCACTCCAAGGACTTCAGAAAGTATAAGGTGAAAAAAACTTAGCTTTTATTCAGCAGCTGCTGAATAAAAGCTAAGTTTTTTTCACCTTATACTTTCTGAAGTCCTTGGAGTGCTATTACCTACTACTATATATATAGTAGTAGGTAATAGCACTCCAAGGACTTCAGAAAGTATAAGGTGAAAAAAAAAAAAATATATATATATATATATATATATATATATATATATATATATATATTAGTAGTATATACTGACTTCAGAAAGTATAAGGTGAAAAAACTCCTAGCTATTGCAGCTGCTGAATAAAGCTAAGTTTCAGTACCTACCATATAATATATATATATATATATATATACACACACACGGTGTAATTTAATTATAAGTATATATATATATATATATATATATATATATATATATATATATATATATCTATATATCTATATCTATCTATCTATCTATCTATCTATATATATATATATATATATATATATATATATCTATATATATATATACACACACACGTGTAATTTAATTATAAGTGTATTTTTATATATATATATATATATATAATGTCTATATATCATATTTATATACACATAAATAACTGCAGGCAGTCTCCACTCAACCGGAGCAACGCAAAAATGCTGGACCGTCACCGGTCGGCAATGCAAAAATGCAGATGACGGTCCTGAACTGTCCTCGGTCCTTAAGGAGTTAAAGGAACACTGCAGTCACCAAAACAACTTTACCTTCATGAAGCAGTTTTTGTGTACAGAGCATGCCTCTTTGGTGACTAGTGTCTCTTAAAGTTAATCCCATACTGGTGAACAAACCTGCTGAAAAGTAGTTAAGAATAGGTTTCAAATAAATATGACATGTGTGAATATAGTGTATGTAAGGAGGAGTACAAGAACTATTAATCTAAAGTATAAAAGTCACAAAATAAGAGGACATTAAAACAGACACACACTTAAACAGAGGAAACTGGTTCACACAATTACACGTAGAGCTGGCATATCCAGCTTTTGGTGCGCATAACCCATTGGGTACGCTTACTATGAGTTGAGAAACTGGGACCTAGAAGTTATAAAGTACATTGCCCTTTGGGCAAAATAATCTATAGCAGGGCTGTCTGAACTTGGCATTCTTAGTTTAGTTTAATGATTTTTGAGGAAAAGGTAGCCAGATGTTGGTCTGGCTACCTTTTGACCTTTGTAAAATACCGTATTTATCGGCGTATAACACGCACCTCATTTTAAGAAGGAAATTTCAGGGAAAAAAAACAACTTAAATTTCAAATAAAGAACTTTGAAGCAAAATAAGGGTAGCTCAGAACTTTTTTCTGTTAATATTATTATAATTGACATCCCCTGCGTATCGCATATGGCACCCCTCTTACTCCCCCCTCCCCCTCTTCTTACCCCCCTTTCTTACTTCCCCCTCCCCCATCTTCTTACCCACCTCCCCATCTTCTTACCCCTTCCTCCCCCTCCCCTTCTTACTCCCCTCCCTCTTCTTACCCCCCTCCCCCTCTATTTACCCCCTTCTTACCCCTCTCCCCTCTTTTACCCCCCCACTCTCTTTTCCCCCACTCTCTTTTTACCCCCTCCCCTCCTGAAACAGAAACTCCTGTTCCACGCGGTTAACACTTGGTTAACACAGTGAGGGAGTTTAAGCATGCGTGGGATAGGCATAAGGCTATCCTAGACTTAAGATAAGGACAGGGACTAATTAAAAGTATTTAGAAAATTGGGCAGACTAGATGGGCTGAATGGTTCTTATCCGCCGTCACACTATGTTTCTATGTTGGTGGGTCATGATGCTATATGTTAAATAATTCTACAGACCATGTCATGCCAACCCACTGAAACCAATAAAATAAAAACAATGCAAATACCTCTTCTTGCATGGGAGAATAATCAAATGTTTGTCCAATCCAAAAATGGCAAAAGAAAGGAAACCCTGTAAAGAAAATGCACACAATGGGAAGAGATTATTCTAAAGATTATACATGATAGAAAGATATTTGTTAGTTCTAGTGTCTGAATGCTGAGGATTTGCATTTGTTTACCTATACAGTTCCTTTAAGCACTTTTGTTTTCTTAAAGTAAACATTTTATTGTAGAACAATATGTATATGGTTTTCTATGTTCTACATATATACTGCAAATATTGTTGACATGACAAATCTACCCTTTCCGTTTCATAATTAAGGTTGTGTTTTTCTTGGCATTTGGTTGTGGAGCTAGTGAATTCTAGATCACATTATTTTATTACCTTTCAATACTATTAAAGGGACACTATATTCATCAAAACAACTTTAGCTTAATGATGCAGTTTTAGTGTATTTTTCATGCCCCTGCAGTGTCACTGCTCATTTCTCTGCCATGTGGGAGTTAAATTACTTTGTTTATGTACTCTAGTCACACCTCCCTGCATGTGACTTACACAAGACTAGTAATAGAGGAGTAGATCAGAAATTCTGAATTAAAAACAGAATGTGCAATATAGGAAGTGTAACCATTAGATCTCTCTTTGCAAGAAGTATTTAGGAAGGCTGTACAAGTCAAATGCACGAAGATGTGATTTAACTCCTAAATGGCAGAAAATTGAGCAGTGAGACTACATTGGCATTTTCTATCCACCAAAATAACATCATGAAGCTAAAGTTGTTTTGGTGACTACAGTGTCCATTTAATAATTCAACAAATAGAAAAACCCTCTATCGCAGGTAGTTTAAGGAATGCCGTAAATTAAACAGATTAATAATAAAACAAAAAAAAAACATTACCAATGACAGAAACAGGAAGAGTTTTACAATCGCCATCCAATTTCTGGATTACTACTCAATTAAATTAGAAATATGACCGGAGGATTAGTTCAACCTCGAACTGCATTTTAGGTACAGGAATAAATAAAATACTATTTGTGACTGTACTGCATGCAGAATCAGCCACCGACCACTAGAAAATCTGTAGATTGGAGTCTATGTGAGTATATTGGATATTTTATGCTGTTCTATAAGTGCTGTCTGCAGAGTTCCTTCAGTATGAGTATAGGAGATGAACACTGTATCACCAGGTCAATGTTTAATGCAACGTCTACTCACCTGACCAAAGTTAAACACCGCACAGAAGAACTGAAGTTCAACATACAATCTTCCTGGTTCCAAGTTAAAAAGCCACCAGAAGCAGCTGGACACATTCTAAAAACAGAAATTATGAAATATATATATATAGTAATTTATATTTACAATATAAAATTATAATATGGCATAGCCAGGTAAAAACAAGACAAAAACAAAATGCAAATAATGTATATATTATTTCCAGAATATAATTACCGCAAAAAGGCCCACAACAAGAAGTAAGCAAAGCAAAACATGTCTGCTCGTCTGTGGATCCACACTGTGCAACTGCTGCTCTTCTTGGGATAGAATACATCTCTGAGAATTGCAGCGACTTAGACATTCATGAGCTAAAAAGGAAAACAAATGATTGCTTTCTGATTCTGAAGTAATTTAAATGGATAATAAATACCAGACGTAAAATGAAGGAAATGAATTATTTGCTCTGTTCTCTTCCCACATATATAGAGTATTACCTATGTGACAAAATGTTTTACATTAACATATTTGACCTGACTGCATTCTGATTGTATGCGCTTTTCGGTTTAATGAAGATTTGGAGATTGGTGTAATGGTATTTTGTGCTTGTGTCTGGTATGATCTGGGCATGCCGTTATTAAATAGCTCCCCTATATTCTCATAATGTGATATGAAGAGGACATAAGCATCTTGTGTGAATGGTAAGCTCTGACCTGCAGGAAGCTCTGTCTTCTCTATGGGTAGTATTCTGCATCAAAGTTAGGTAAATTATTATCTAATCAGCTTTGAATCAGTGCCAGAGTATGTATGTAACAAATGCCGGTGGAGAGCACCCAGATTTAGATGGAAACCAACATCATTATATGAAGTTAAAAATACTCAATAAGAGTTGTTAGATGAAGTACACAAGTCCTGATTTTCTGTTAAATTAAATATGCTTAAAAAACAAACAAAAAAACAAAAAACACCCAGCAACAGTTTGATGCAAAACAGGTCAATGGAGCAAACAGAATCCAGATTCCTCTAACCTAGTGGTATGGGAAAATGAAATTAGGCCTTTCCAGTAGCACAATGAAATTTAAAATGTATTATGTAACTTTTCTAGTTCTCCTTAGCATTCCTCTGCATTATTATTATTTTGGAGGCTTAATTGTATGTGTGTACACAAAAAACAAACAAACAAAAGACAAGTAGAGAATCACACTAAGAAAGGAAAGATTAGGCTGCACATTTTAAAGCAAACTGTTTTATTTATTAACAGTTTTCCCCCTTCCCCCCCATTTATGGTGATTAAACTAGTGACGAATATTCTCCTGATCTAAAGTAAAAATAAATAGAATTCAAATGGACAGACTAATAAGTAAAATTATTCTTATTGAAATAAAAAACCTGGCAGTCTGCACAACATGCATCAGGACATTTAACAAAGCGTACCTTCTTCAATGCTTGGAGGCTCATTGATATTCAGCACATTTGCAGTCTCCATGGGATTACATAAATCTCCATTTTCCTGACCACATGCACAGAATCCTGCATACAGAGAGTATTCAGACGTTATTACAACACATTCACCAACATGATGGTCATTCAATAAAACAGTAACTGGAGAATTTAATATACCGATGAAAACTTCAGGCACAGACATTTTTTCTTTTCAGAATCTGCTATTTTGGACTCTATGTGGCAACAGACCTGCAGTACACAATTATTTGGTGGGGGAAATAAATAAATAAATAGATAACAGAAAGCTTTTAAATAGGCTTGTTTTAAATTGTCATTTGTCTGATTCCTGCACAAAGGAAAACTCAGTAACCTTCCGAGGACTGAGTTTTATTCAGATTGCCACAACAACGATTACATCTGCCTCTCCTGATATTTTGTTTCAAATTTTTATTTAAAAAAAAAAAGTTTCTTTGTCAAACAGAATATTAAATAAATTAAGTCACATGCAATGTAATGACAAATTTAGTGAACTGGGATACAGAACTGCTCTAACTTGCCATACACACTTTCAACAACACAGAATGAAGAAATCTCAGTGCTGCCAAATGAATTAGTATGTATGCACTGCTGAAAGGGCCTGCGGCGATATTGTGAGCCAAAAGTGCCTACAGCCATTCTGATTGTCAGAATCTCCTACGCCCTAGTTCTCAGAGCTCCTAACTGCATGACATGAGTATGCAGGCTGTGCATGTTCTCTAGCAGAAATGAAATGCAGATTTAGCGATAGGTCACTAAACCAAAGCTATATAAGCAACAGACACTTAGAATAAGGGTTCTCTTCACACCCAAAAACAGATAAAAAATTTTTGCACCTCTAGTTTCATAGTACCAAAACTATTACAGTAAGCTGTAGTGATCTTTGTTCTTTGAGTGCTCTTTCCAGGAATTCTGAGAACACAGTTTTGGCAACCAATGCAAAGTACACATGCACACAGTAATACATGTGATCACGGTCAGCTGCCTCTGCAAAAAAAAGTTCTGCTGCTTCTGCAAAATCGTATCTACCTTAGCCCACTGCTCAGTGTTTAGGAACATTTGTAATATAGAGCTAAATGACTGACTTCGCATACAGGATCTCTCTTAATCAGGTCTGTGTGCATGGTTAAACAAATTACCTCTTTCAGCAGAAACTGTGGGAGTGCTTGCCAGCACAGGACTGTCTGGCTTTATTTCACTAGTGTCAGGAGTCCGGTTGATACTGCTTTGAGATGACTGGTTAAGTGCCTGGTAATTGCTATCCTGCCCAATTCGACTCATGAACAGAAGTGATATACTAGATAGTAGTATACTGCAGGAAAGGACCACCGCGGTGCAGATAATCTAGTGAAAGATCAAAAGAAAATATGTTTAGATAATTTAAAAAAACACTGCAGTTTATTCAAAGAAAAAAAAACAACAATATCCGTTCAGTGCCAGGAACAAGTATGGCAAAATAATACAGTTCAGAGAACTTCAATATCTCCCTACAGAGAAAGGGCACCTCCAGGCATTGTGCACTATTATTCTCAGTAAGACTGCAAGGCCACCACTGATGAGTCCACATCAGCTTCATACATATCATCAATATAAATGTAGAGTCTTAAATTGTTAACAGTCATCCACAAAGCAAGAATGACAAGTTCACATTCAGCTAGAACATAGCTTTAATTTATACATATTTTGCTTATCCTCCAGCAAGAAAACAAACAAACATGACCCTATAGTGGGGAGCACGGCACTACCCTGTTCCCTAAATTCACACCTGGCTTCCCTCAATTCTTGGGGATGCAACCCTGTTACTTGGAGATGGGGAAGTTGATTGTACAGCTGCTTTAGACCTCCAAGACTGCAGTGTTTATTGCAATGATAATGGGTCCATGAAGGTCACAAATCATTTATAATCGGAGTATGTTTTTTTAATTAAAATTATTTAATTAGAAAATAAATAAATAGAAATAGAGTTAATTTCACATGATATCACATGATGGGACATAAGAATGGAGCCACAATTAAAAATTGTGAAAATGAAAATCAGCTGTTTTTCCTACAGGAACGTGTGACTGATGAGTATAAAGCAAAAATTTTACCCCAGAGCTGCACCAATTCACTAAAAATAAGACTGTTCATTTATTAACACAATCTAGCAGAGCACCAGTATGATTCGTTTTTCAACTTTTCATTAAGTAGAAAATGCAACTGATATATTGTGACATTATTTTTGTCCAGATTATCCACAACGAAGGCTCTACAATAGTACTAAGATCAAAGATTATCAAATATTGAAAAAAAAAAATGCCATGCAAATAAATCAAGATTTTGTAAGTGTGGAGTGGAATTTGGTCATCAATCCCACCCTTACTTCCACAGGGTCTTGCAGACTTACCTGAAACTTTCCATAAAAGAAAGCAGAGTCAGTGCAGTCGACATCTCGTTCTCCGACGCTTACAATAATGCAAACAATTAAGACAGGAATGCTGAAAGAAAAAAAATATATATATCAAATGTAAATGTGAAAATGTCCCGTGATGGTGATTTATAGGCGGGATTACATTGAACCACTGTTTTAAGTTGCTAGACCACTTTAGAAGTATTTGATCACAATGATTATCTTGTGGTCTTCTGAACGGTCAATTACTTTTTCAATAGTTGCATTGACAACAGAAAAGGCTGCAGCTGGCACACAGACATTTTTTACTAAAGATTTGTGTTCGTACTTCCTGCAGTACTATGACTTTAAAGAAGAATTGTCACCTCAACACTATATTATAATACAAAGATCCTTTCATCAAGATACGAAAGGAAATGAATACTTTGTTAAATGTATATGTATAAGTAAAAAGTCATCCCTAACTTTAGTATACAACAAGATCCTTAGGCCATATGCGTGCAGCTTGGGTCAGAAAGCATTCGCCTTTAAGTGCTATAGCGATATGGTACAAAGACCAGGTATGTTGTTGTTGTTGTTATTATTTATAAAGAGTCAACAAATCTGCAGCGTTATACAATGGGTGGACTAACAAGGAACCAGATAAGTTGGACACACAGGAACAGAGGGATTGAGGTTCCTGTTCAATTAGCTTACATGCTAGAGGAAGTGGGGTATAGTGACACAAAAGGTAAGAGTAGGGTAGAAAAAGAAGATTGCTAGGATAGTATTCATTTAGTGTTTTGTTTTGATGACAGTTGCAAGAGAGGAATCAGGGTGCAGGGAGAGAAAGCTGTTCACAGTTTAATTGATATGCATTCTGAAGAAGTTTTCAAAGATTTTTTGAAGGAGTGGAGACTGGGTGAAAGTCTAAGAGAGGGGATGGGCGTTCCATAGTGCAGCCCTAGAAAAGTCTTTAAGGCAGGAGTACGAACAGAGGTTGGACATAGGTCTTCGGCTGAGCGTAGGGGCCTAGATACATATTTGTGTATTAGTGAGGATAGGTAGGTTGGGGCAGCATTCTCTAGAGATCTGTAAGCAAGTACAAGGATCTTAAATTGAGCCCTATATCTTACGTGAAGCCAATGTAGGAACTGACAGAGGGGGGAGGTAGCATTTTTGCTTGAAACTCTGCAAGTATCAGATATTGAGATTCTGTGTTTTTTATTTTTTTAATGGTGCAACTCCATCTCCAACTGCTGCTGAAGTGCAAGGCTCAGTTGAACTCCAAAGCCCAAAAAGGTCACCCTATGCTGGTATAAATGAGTCTGATTAGGATGACTGTAAAGTGCAACAATTGGGACTTTATGGAACACTTTGGGCATCATAACAACTTAATCGGCACTGAAAAAGGGAGTAATAAGTCTTATTATTAACAACTTACTTACTCCCTTTAAGAGATATTCTGTGTACTATCCAATATAGTAATCAATATAGTTGCATAGTTACATTCTGGAAAGAGACTTGCGTCCATCAAGTTCAGCCTTTCTCACATTTGTTTTTTGCTGTTGATCCAAAAGAAGGCAAAAAAAACCCAGTTTGAAGCACTTCCAATTTTGCAACAAGCTAGGAAAAAAATTCCTTCTTGACCCCAGAATGGCAGTCAGATTTGTCCTTGGATCAAGCAGTTATTACCCTACATTGAAAGATTGTATCCTTGAATATTCTGTTTTTGCAAGTATGCATCTAGTAGCTGTTTGAACATCTGTATGGACTGATAAAACCACTTCTTCAGGCAGAGAATTCCACATCCTTATTGTTCTTACAGTAAAAAAACCTTTCCTTTGCCTTAGACGAAATCTTCTTTCTTCCAGTCTAAACGCATGGCCTTGTGTCCTATATAAAGTCCAGTTTGTGAATAAATTTCCACACAATGGTTTGTATTGGCCCCGAATATATTTCTATAATGTGATCATATCCCCCGAATATATTTGTATAATGTGATCATATCAAGTTTTTCTAAACTAAATAACTAACTTTGAAGAGTGGGCATTACCTACAGGGTCTCTACAGCCATAACCTGCTAGCCAGGGCAAAAGGAGTTGCTATTTAGTGTACAGATAATATCATCTATTTATCTGCATTTCTCAGGTACGTTTAGAATTTTTAATTCTGCTTGTCACTTGTTTACATTTAAAGCTAATATGGGAGCTTAACTATACAGTTGAGAGATTTTGTGGATTTGCACTTTTCCCATTTTGGTGTCCAACCTATTTATAATTTTTTTTTTTTTTTTTTTTTTTTTTTTTTTTTTTTTTTTTTTTTTTTTTTTGCTGTGCATGAAATAATTTTGCATATCAACAATGCCACAACAGCAATCGCAATCAATTTACAGACACTTATTTGTCAACTGTTGTACAGCATAGAGGAAACGCACACATTTTTTTTTTAGGGTAATAATACAAGTTAAGTACAAGCTTAGTAACTACGTCTGTCTTTTTGAATTACATTGTCGATTAGTACCAGTAGCTTAGGGTTAATATTTATGTCGCGTGTCATCGCTTCAATATCTAGACATTGACATGCTTATGCCTGACTATGCTTAAGTGAGAGACATACATTTTGTACAGTAACAGTTGGTCTAAGTAGTCGTGACAGTAGTTGAGACTGTGAGTTTGCATTTTAGGTTATAATAGATTATGCAGTGCTGACTAACAAAATATATCTATTTCTATTAAGGTTTCCAACTTTAGCTAAGATTCTCATTAAAGTAGGGTGCCACCAGGCAGAGCATCATACATTCAGTTATTTCCTTCTATACATATAAAGCTCAAGTAAAGATGAACTATATACAGGGTCATATGCAGAGGATATGCACGTTATTCAATGACTGCAACTACAGTGATATCTGGTATAGCTATTCATGTCATACTATATATTGTGCTTCTTATTATGAACGGCTGGGGTCACCGTCAGCTCCAGCCCAGCGCAAAGCCTGAGGTAATCTGGTTGTGTTCCATGCCCAGGTGTGGGGTGAGTCCCTTGATATTACCCCATGAATTCCACTTGTTCCTAATGTCCCGGTTGTTGGGTAGGTTTGCCATGTCTTGCGAGCCTTGATGTATTGTCGAGGGCTATAGCACCATGCGGTCAGTGGGTAAAGCTGGGTGTTCTGTTTGTTCTTCCAGCCCTGGTCGTTAGTGGAGCTTGCTTGCAGAGTGCCCTTCTGGGGTTGCCGCTTTGAGATGGGCATGTGGAGGAAATGCTGGCTGTGGTGGTTCTCATTTGTCAGCTTGTATGTTCCAGGGCTGTTACGTGGGGGCTTGAGAGCCCTCAGGGACCCCCGGTGGTAGCAGGTTGTGAGCACAGAGTGATCACCTTCTGTCGATGCAGTTGCTGTGCCTCCGTCAGCCATTTTGGTGAGACCGCGTGGGATCCTCACTCCGGCTTCAGACCATTCAGGTGAGATGTTTAGGCATTAGCCCGCCTGGTGGGGACCGGGATGTCCCCCCCGGCCCATGGGGGGGGAAGCTGGACCAGGAAGGTACCAAGTAGATGGTGATTTACTGCAGTCAGAGTGGAGAGCGAGGCAGCGGCCGTCCACCCCGCTCCCCTCCCGGGTAGGCCTCAATCCCCGAGCGCCAGAGTCTCTCACCAGGACCTAGAGCCACCCTGCGGCGGGCGCTCCAGCTACACTGGGACACTTCAGGGCTTCATGTCATGGACCCCCGGGTCCGTATAAGTCGGGTAAAGTGGATATATTGCCTTTTTTCCTTTGTTTGCTCAGGAGCCCGTGTGATATGCAGCCTGCTGGCATGGCCGCCCGGCCCCGCCCCCCTATTATTTTTTATCTTTTGAACATACTGTATGGGGAGTCACCCCAACATTTAGTCTCTATTCTGTATTACCACTTTTTCCACTCTATTAGGTCAGTTTCTTTCTGTCCACCTATCCCTAAGAGGTTATGGTGCCTGGATGTCTTAAGTTGTTAAAAGTAATATTTCTTTAATTGTTATGCATTCTCCTTATAGCAAGAACCATTGCAAGAAAAAAAAAAAAAAAAAGAGAAAACTTTTTTATGCAACTTCTTTCTTCACAGAGAGCAGACAGAATAAAAAAAAACACAAACACAAAGATGCAGTAGTGTCCATTACGAGAGACAGCAAGATCACCAGCTCCAGGCCTAAAATTTGCATTTCCATAATTAATATCGCAACCAGAAGAAAAAAATAAGATATAATTAAAACTACGTACAGAGTAAATCTGGTACATTGAATACAAACTATATTGGTAAGGAAGTGGTGTGTTTTTTTTTTAAATAGGTTTTCAATTTGATAAACATTCAGGAAAAATACTTACCCCCAGCCAGCTAAGGCAATGAAAACTACTGGGAGATTTCCAACTTCTCTTTTCTTCAGCAAAAATAGAGAGAGAGAAATAAGGCCTGAAAGGGTAGATGGAAAAAAAAAAAAAAAAGATTTTAAAATCAAAAGCATTTAGTGAAATTATATTTCAGTTTGCGGAATGAAAAGGCTCTTGGATCATAACTGATGGAGGATTATATAGTTATACAGAGACTAGGCCAACAGTAATTCACCGATACCAAACTTTCTGCTACTAACTTTGAAGAGTGGGCATTACCTACAGGGTCTCTACAGCCATAACCAGCAAGCCAAGTCAAAAGGAGTTGCTATTTAGTGTGCAGATATTTGTTCACAAAAATCACTTTTGGAGGGACCATTTACACATTTATATTTATATCCTCAAACATGAGGCTGATCTCAAACCCACGATCTGCTCATATTACTGTCTGATTACAATATACATTTATTTTGTGCCCCACAGGCCTGGTAATCCAAACATAGTTAAGGTGGTCATATGGCCCTTTTTCTTACTTTTCTGAAGATGGTTACGAAGAAGTATCTGCAGTAACATTTTCCCCTAGGCTCCCAGAGAAAGAAGAGATGTGGTGAGGACACTGGAGCCCTAAGCATCACAGGTTCCCTATGTTTACCCGACATTAGTTGAGCAAAGGAGCAAGTTGGCAGATGTCCTTAATGAAGGTATCAGTTTCTTTTAATGGTCATATGCTCCATGAACAATGTAATAAAAGTGGCAGACTTTTAGATAAGATATTTAAGCTTTACACCTGTGCTGATTTTAAGATACAGCAAGAGCAATATCCCTGGGGATTATAGCTAATGTGTACCATCACACCATTTAAATTGTCTGCAAAGAGGCAGATTCTCATGAAAAACACAGTGAGCAGATCTTGCCATATCTACAACAGTTCCCATTGACCAAAATTGCTAGATAAGGCAAAGGAGATTTGAAATGCTTCACTAACGGAGGAGAAACTGGTGTAAAGGAATCCCCACGATAAGATGGCTTTCTTGTGCAAGAACAGGTTAAAGTATTGAAATCTAAAGTAGTCAAGGCACTCAAGTCTTCACTTCAAGGTAACTTGAGATGCCACCATTATTGTGTGCCCAGAACCTTGTTGAAACAGGATGTGGCCCTTCCATGTACATAAGACTGTATTTTAGGAACAGCACCTCCAAAACCAAACAGAATTTCACATTTACAAACTGATTGCTCCATCAAAATGTTTGCTGTGCAAGCTTTTTTAAACTAGATACATTTTGCACATAAGGTTTTCTTGGAGAGTCTCAGCCATATCAGAACACTGCTGAACAGGAAATGTTAATTTCCAAATACTTTTTGTCAAGTAAGAACTACTTTACAAACTTTGTTTAATATTGTTAAAAGTTATTGAAAAGTCACATGTAAAATCAGAGAAATATGGAATTACCTGTCCACAGGTAAGTGCTGTAGAGAGCGCTATAGAGAATCACAAACACAAGAATCTGGCCAACCACGTTTCTCTCTTGTATAATGAAGTTCCACAACACCATCCCAATGCAGACAATAAACTGTGAGAAACAGAACAGTCAAAAATCTAATTCGTTATAGCAATTTATCAGATGTTTTAAGATGAGCTCACGGCAGAGGATGTTTAAGTTCCCCATGAGCTTAAAATCTTTATATCTACAATCACATTGAAGAAAATAAATAAATAAAAAACAAAACACACATGACAGGCCAACTTTAACCCAAGGAACTCTAAGTATCTGTTCATTTAATCATTTATAGATGACAAAAGAAAGGGAAAAACGTTTTACTGCACAGACCTGTGCTAGTAGTAGGTTCCCAGTGAGTGAATGAGGGAGGAGCTTGTATTTCTTACTCAGAAGTAAAACAGCAAGAGTCCAAACCTGAAAAGAATAAATATACATTATACATTTAATAAACACAAATGCATGTGCATTCTCTACAACAGGGATGCCTAAAAGGTAGATCCCATATCACGATGCTTTGTCATTTTAAAAGGCACGCAAGGCATCATGGGAGTTGTAGCTCTACAACATTTGGGCATCTACCTTGTGGGCACCTTTGCTCTAAAACAAACACATTAATTGATGTGCTGCTGAAATAGCAAACATACGCTGGTTCACATCCCTACTAAACAGGTTATGCAAAAAAAAGACCACCTAACTTAAAAATTGGACTTTTAAAACCAGAGATTCTATAACCTATTTTCATAGACGATGAATTAACTTGAATTTTAAATACATATAACCAATCATACACAGGTTTTATAAGGATAGTAGAGATTTTCTAAACAAGTAATTGAAACTTTGTAGAAGCAGCAAATGTGTTTTATTCTTGTTTATTGCAGGAGATATTGTAATGTAATACTTGTTATATTAGGGTGAATAATATAAAATATTAATGCAATAAGTTATGTTATTGAATTCATTGGTTAACAATTCTTTGAACCAATAACTAAATATTATTATCCAGATTTCATTCTCTAATCTGGAAATTATATTTCTTTGTTGCATGTTGTATGATCACTGATAAGGTTTTTATTGTATAGATTGTTATCACAATAAATTAAATTTTTAAGTAATATAGTTATTGTACGTTATGTTGAATTGAATTATAAATTAGGTTAGGTTTCAGAGAAGAAATAGTTGGTATCTCTTTAAATCATAACCATTCGTGTGGTTCTATAATCAAGATCACCTTATTAAAGGACCACTATAGTCACCCAGATCACTTCAGCTCAATGAAGTGGTCTGGGTGCCAGGCCCCCCAGGTTTTAATCCTGCAGTTGTAAACAAAGCAGTTTTAGAGAAACTGCTATGTTTACATTGCAGGGTTAATCCAGCCTCTAGTGGCTGTCTTCCTGGCAGCCGCTAGAGGCACTTCTGCAACGCTCAATGCAATTGAGAAATGCTTTCCTATGGGCGATTTTAATGCACACGTGGCTCTGGCCGCGCATGCGCATTTGGCTCATCGGGAGCAGACGTCGGAGGGGGAGGAGAGGTCACTGGATAAAGGTAAGTGGCTGAATGGGTTTTAACCCCTTCAGCCCAGCGAGAGGCAAGCCCTGAGGGTGGGGGGAACCTAAGGATTATATATAGTGTCAGGAAAACGAGTTGGTTTTCCTTACACTATAGTGGTCCTTTAATACAATTTTTATTATTATAATTTTCACAAAATATAAAATATTCTGTCCCACAATTATCCCTAGATTCCAGCTCTTTTGATATCCATATTATATATTTTTCTATGTTGGAATAAACTATTCTCTTAAATAGGCTAGACAACAGCAACATCTCATCCCTACTAGTATGTTCCTCGACATGAATCAATTAGCTTATATGAATTCTCATGCTTACTAAACCCAAATGTAGTCAGAATTCAGTCAAGCTGAGCGATTCTGCGGCAATCGCTGAGATACTATTGGTGTCTGTACAGCAGAGCTTGACAAATCCAAGGCGCCAGGTCGCCATTGCGACTGGGATTTAAAGCCCTTTAGCTAAAGGCAGGACGGAGAAACAATGGAGCCGGCCAGTCGCCCGGGGCAGCGTGCGAGCGAGCAGTGATCTTCAAGCGGCTCCCTTGCGCTGTTTAACACATGGCTATTTTAACCTGAATTTTGTAATTCTGTTTTCATTTCACTACATACCATACAGCAGTGGTTTATTTTGGTTCCATACTGCCCTAGGCATGACTAATCTAAATTTGCCCCACCCCTTCCTGTCAAGGCCACACCTCTTCCTGTTGAGGATCAACAAACACTTTGACTGACAGACACATGCCCTCACTGATACTCAAACACACAAACTCTGATACTGAAAGACATACTCACTGACAGACAAACACACAATTATAATTCTTAAATTCCCAGCCTCCCTACCTATAGATTCTTCCCTGGGGTCCAAGTTGCTGTGATCTTCTTGCTTTGCTCCTGGTGCGCAGTTTGGGGATACCTGGACCGGAGTGATGTCATATCCGGCTTAACCATAAGGCACACGAGATAGCAGAGCAAGAAGATCACAGGTATCAGAGCTCCATCCCTAAATACAGCGCTCGCATACATACTTCTTAGAGCCTTCTTTGTGTACCAGAAGAGGCAAATGTGTGTGTGGAGCAACACAGCACAGGGATTGCATAGCAATTTTTTTTAGAGTATTTTGTATAATGTTATTTTGACAGCATCCCAACAAAATGTACACCTGATAACACCTAGGGAGTGTGCCACCCTTTCTCATATCTATACTCTGCATGTTACATTCTCCAGTTAACTTACCAGGGACAATGAGCCTACAATGCTGATATCAAAGCTCACATTCTGCAACGCAGACATCAATGGCTTGGGATCCATAGTGGGGATTGCCAGGAGCCAGGCTGACACATACATGATGGGTGCAGATACAAAAGTGCTTATCACCATTCCAGAAGTGACCTGTTAACAAGAATCAGCAAATATTCATTTAAACACATTCCCCAAAATAAAATATGAAATAAAATGTACACCAGATTGTGAGGAAACTGTACTTAAAAATATTTATTTTAAGATATGTTATGCTAATTAGCATTTTTCACATATGTGAATTATAAATGTTACATGGCAGTATGTTTTAAACTTTTTTTTTTTAATAAATAAAGATACACTTGGACTCTTTTCAGCCCATAATACAATGTAACTAGAAAAATACTATTCCTCTTTGTGTCTTTGATAGAAGCAAAATTCTGTTGTTCTATGAAGCGTGCTGCTATGTACACTCACTATTTACATGCACTGTCACCTGAGAATATTACCAGGCTAAAGGTATGCTAAGCAACCCCAGTATGCATGACAGTGTTCATTGAGGAGGCTTAAAATTATGTTACTAGAGCAGGTTCATCATTTGAATCAGAACAGAGAATTGGTTATGGTCTGTTCTTTAAAAAAAAAAAAACACACCACAAGCCAAAACGAAAGAATAGGGACTATTGCTGACTGTTTCAGTAGTGGCAAGGTTCACCCAAGCTACATTAAGATATGCTATTCCATAACTGAACAACTATAATCAAAGCATATAAAAAATAAAAAAAAAGGTAATACTGGTCCCTTTAAAATGTTACAACATGATCATATAAGGAACTGTATGCACATTAAACCTACAATCTCCACTTCCATGTTGAACTGGTTTGCAAAGATAGCGACTCCAGGGGCCACTGGGAAGACTCCATACAGAAATGCATAATTAGATAAGCTTGTGTGGTTAACTGGACTGTTGCTTTTGTCCAACAGCTCCACCATTTCCCTGCAGATAAGCGGCACTGCCAGCCTGAGGGGGAATAAAAAGAAAAAGTTACAAAATAATAATAAGAAAAAAACAAACAAAAAAAAAAAAAACAGGACATTGTGTGAGACAGAAGGAAAAGAAAGACAAAAACAATACACAACAACAGAGACTGGGTCTAATTCTAAATAAAATTCACAATGTTGAAAAATAGATAAGCCCTAGAGTTATGTTATCCGAAGAAAAAAAAAAAAAAAGATTAATTTACATTACATCATATGAACGGGCTTTTCTTAAAATCTGTCCATAAAATAAAACTGTTTTACTCCCGACATGTCACAGCAATTTTAGCATAAAAAGTGTACACTATTAGCAGCCTTTATCAGCTCACTAAGTAATGATAAAGAACCCACTTGGTAATTTACTGCTACCATCTTTCCTACTGCAAAAAAACAACCTTAAAAGTGTTGGGGAGGATCTCCAGGCCCTTATAACAATGAGGATATTATAATACTATCCCTTCATTTTACAAACTGCACAGGCCCGTGGACTACATTTTAGTGATGCTTATACAATCTAATAAACATTGTCTGCAAAAAAACAACTACAGTGCCAAAGTTAGTCATCACTCCTATTATATGCATGACCGTTTCATTTTAATGTTTGCCACCTTCAGTTATGAATACATAGTATATAATTCTTTAAAGGAACATTAGAGAGTAGGGATCGACCAATAGTGATTTTTTTAGAGCAGATACCGATAATCTGTGAATTTTCAGGCCGATAGCCGGTAACTTATAGATATTCTGTACATTTGCCATTTTAAAAAAAATAAACCATTTTTAAAAAGTAAATGCACAAAATTTACATGCCACATGTAGTGGATGCAGTGTGTTTAGACAGGGGAGCTATGTAGTGGATGCAGTGTGTATTTGTGAAGTGTGCATAGTGAAAGCAGTGAGTGTTTATGTAGTGTGTATATAAAGTGAATGCAGAGTGTGTGTGTAGCGTGTATAGTGAATGCAGTGATTGTATAGTGTGTGTATAGTGAATGCAGTGTGTCTGTGTAGTGTGTGTAGTGTTAATATAATGCAGAGTGAGTGTGTGTGTGTGTTTATGCAGGTATGTAATTTGTGTAAAATGTGTAATTTGCCAAAAATACCAAATATCAGCCAGACCGATAATCGGTCAATCCCTATTAGAGAGTCAGAAATAGAAAACGTGTATTCCTAAACCAATTGTGTTAACACTATTTAGCCCCCTGGACTCCCTGCCTCCTTTAAATATAGTAAAAACCCACCACCAGCAATGTCCCCACCCCCTTGGCTGAGATCATCAGAATTGATGGTCTCAGACAATCCAATGCTTTCCTATAGGAAATCATTGGATTGGCTGAGATTGTAAATTCTGATGATCTCAGTCAAGAAGGCAGGGCAGCGGCGGAGCCAAATGCATCCCTGGCAAATCAGATGCATCTCTGTGGGGAAAATGTTGTGCAGCACTGACCCAGGGAGCACCTCTGACAGTCTGAGTGACTGCAATTGGAGGTTATCCTAAGCAGCAATGTAAACACTGCCTTTTCTTTGACAAGGCAGTGTCTGCATTAAAATGTCTGCAGGGACATGCTCTAATTGCCAGAACAACTAAATTAAGTTGTTGTATAGTTGCTCTAAATGTCCTTTTGTATGTTTTATAAAAGGAAAGTGCAGTGTATGCAGTAGTTTGGAAGATGTATACAAAGAGAAAACATACAACATATCATGCTTATCAAACCAATAAAACATGTTTTAAATGTCTTTATACTTACAGCTTTGCAGTAATAAGTAGCAGCAATGCAACAAAAGAAGATTTTTTAAGTTTACTGGTCTGGCCAACCATTGAGAGACCGAGATAAAACAGAGCTGAGCCAGAGAAAGAGCTGGCCAGGCCATCCAAGAAGTTCTCCATAAAGATGGGAATCTTCTGGCCAAGTGCAAAATTGAAGGCAATGCCTATAAAGACCATAAAAACAATGGGGTTCTGGAAGGCGCGAAGGAAAGCCAGTCCTAAAATCTTGATTTTGCTTTGGTTAGTAGTTGGATTATCCCTCCATCTTTGTATCTCACAAAGAACAAATCCCAGGGGATTCAGCATCATGAGAGAAACCGGGGCTGCCAAGTAGATGTACTGAAGATATTCAGGATATGTGGTTTGGTACAAGGCATCCACTAAATAAAAAATAAATATGAAATTAGAATGATAGTTTTCAAGCACTGTAAACCACAACAAAAACTAACATTCAGCTTTAAAGAGACACTATAGTCACCAAAACAACTTTAGCTTAATGAAGTGGTTTTGGTGTATAGGTTATGCCTCTGAAGTTTCACTGCTTAATTCTCTGACATTTAGGCGTTAAAACACTTTAGTTTTTGTTTATGCACCGCCAGCCACACCTCCCTTGGCTGGGACGGAGACAGTCTGCATGAAACAAATGGTTTAATTTTCATTCAGATGTTAATTTGCTTTAGAAGTTTTTATCACCTACTCTGTAAATTGAACTTCAATCACACCCACGAGGCTCCTGTGTCTAGAAGGCTAGTAACAGAGCAGGAGAAATGAAATTCTGAACTAAACAGAATGTGCAATAAAAGGAAGTGTACACATTAGATTAAACAGGAAGTGTTTATGAAGACTGCACAAGTCAAATGCAAGTAGGTGTGACTACGGCTGCATTAAAAAAAGTCATTTAACTCCTAAACGGCAGAGAACTGAGCAGTGAGATTGCAGGGGCATGATTTATACACCAAAACTGATTCATTAAAGGACCACTATAGTGCCAGGAAAACATACCCGTTTTCCTGGCACTATAGTGCCCTGAGGGTGCCCCCACCCTCAGGGACGCCCTCCCGCCCGGCTCTGGAAGGGGGAAAGGGGTTTAAACTTACCTTTTTCCAGCTCTGGGCGGAGAGCTCTCCTCCTCCTCTCCGCCTCTGTTACGCTCCGCCGGCTGAATGCGCACGCGCGGCAAGAGCTGCGCGCGCATTCAGCCGGTCTCATAGGAAAGCATTTACAATGCTTTCCTATGGACGCTGGCGTGCTCTCACTGTGATTTTCACAGTAAGAAGCACGCAAGCGCCTCTAGTGGCTGTCAATGAGACAGCCACTAGAGGATTAGGGGGAAGGCTTAACCCATTCATAATTATAACAGTTTCTCTGAAACTGCTATAATTATGAAAAAATGGGTTAACCCTAGAAGGACCTGGCACCCAGACCACTTCATTAAGCTGAAGTGGTCTGGGTGCCTAGAGTGGTCCTTTAAACTAAACTTATTTGGGTGATTATAGTGTCCCTTTAACCCCTTAAGGACACACAACATGTGTGACAAGTCATGATTCCCTTTTATTCCAGAGGTTTGGTCCTTAAGGGGTTAAGAAGAGTATTTGTAGCCTTGGAAAAAAAAAAAAACACATCTAACTTGTTTTAGCAAGGTGTGCTCTTTTCTTTTAGATCTATATTAAAGATTTAGCAAATTACATCAATACCCAGTTTAAAAAGGCAAAGTAAGGAGAACATTGCTAATAAAGAGGAAAATTGACATAGTGTTTAATTTCTTGTCTTCTTTCTATGCTTTCTTTATGCGGAGTGCGAGGTCTAAACGGTAGAGCTTAACAATGACGAAAGAGAGTAAGTTGAAGGCGTCTATTTGCAAGATAAAAAGATGTGTAATATATACATTTAAACTTTATTTTTCCCACTTCACAAATACATATTAGTTTAAATATAGAGCAAGAAAACATAACATTACAAATCCTGGGAAGTTATTGTCCCACTTTAAAAAAAATACAGTAAATATGTGCTTTTACTTCAAAAGCAAAAAAAGCTGCATTAAGTTCAAAGTTCTGGGGATGGTAGCACCATAGCCATTACTATAAACAAAAATCACCCCTCTCCCAATACACTACAGCCTTATTTTAATATTTTTAGATAAAACTTTTCAAACTATTTATTAAAACAGAAGTTACCATTCATATCTATGGAATTTTTGTAGCTAAATGATTTGAAAAGTTTTTCTAACAGATTGTGATTATTCGAAACCCTTATATAAAATTACTAAAATCAAGGCCTACATCTCTGGAGGGACCCATTCATTCACTCTTCACCTGAAGGGCCAGCCAATCTAACTTGCCTCTTATTATGAGGAGATCCAACAGATCCGCATTATTGTGTTTACTTACTCAACATCAATCTGCAGTGAACTAAAATCCAAACTGCAAAATTTTGGTAAAATTAGTTCAACTGGAAATAGTCTCCAACTCCGCTTTAGTCACAGACTAGCTAGTTCTGCCTGCATGTTGCAATCTGTTTTTTAACTTTCATTTTATTTGAATTTGCGGTTTATTAAAAAAAATAATAAAAATAAAATAAAAATAAAAAGAAGAAGAATTAAAGTAGGGCAGATACAAAGCTACTGCATCATCTTCACATCTACTAATAAGCACTATGTGGAAGTATTTAAATGGATATGAATACCCTTACTCTTCAATTACCAAGTTTGACTTATCCATGAAAATGCTTAACTTCATCAAATGCAGCTCATAGTGTAGCACTGGATTCAATGCTTCTCTATAAGAAGCATATGGATGGACATGCTAGTTAAGTTTATAAATGAATTGGGGTCCTCGATCTTGACAATAATTAAAGAGTTACTCCAAAGTCTGTCGTCCGTGTGCACTGCACGCTGGTGACAAACCTATTCTGATTCTCCTCTTGCAGGCAGAGCTTGCAAAAGGGGTCTTTTGTGTCTCCTCCCTCCCTGCAGCCCTCTCGCCTTCCGATCCCATCCAATGCAACCCTTACACACAATGCATCCCTTACACACACAGAAACACACAATGCATTCCTTAAACACACTCAATGCACCCCTTACACACGCACACACTGCATCCTGTACATACACAGAAACACACCTTGCAGCCCTTACACATACAAACACAGATTCACACAATGCAACCCTTACACACATATCTGGACATCCCCTACACACTCCACCCCCTGTGAACAAACTCATTGGTGGAATATGAAGGTGGGCCCTGGGACCCAGACCTTGAGCTGTGTAAAGGGCCCCCAAAAAATGGAGCTGCTTCCCGTTCTCCCAGAACATTGATTTTTGTGACCACGGTTACAAACAGCCTCCAGAGAGCCTGTTCTACACCAGACCAGTGGAGCCAGACTGCAGCTAGAGCCCATCATCATCCTCATCTGGTTGTAAGTAGGCAATCTAGTATATTATTATTCGTGGCACTAAGCTCTAATTTACCTCACATTAAAGAAACACTATAGTCCCCAGAACCACTGCAGCTTAATGTAGTTGTTCTGTTGTCTATAGCCTGTCCCTGCAGGCCTTTTAATGTAAACACGGCGGCACTGCAGCACTGGCGTTAGTTAACATGGCAGATCATATGGGTGGAGCATTGTGATGTCACATGGGGGGGGGGCAAACTTTACTTTTGCCTAGGGTGGCAAAAATCCTTGCACTGGCCCTGATCCCATCTGTTCAGTTATTTTAAACTCCCTCCAACTCCCTCTTGTCTTCCTGGTTCACAGAGTGCATGTGTGCTCTGAGCCTGCTAAATGGTCCAATCAAAAGCACCTCTATGAGAAGCCTTTGATTGGAGCGCATCGGCTGCCATGACATCCGGAGGGTGCAGGAGCTCTGCTGATGGGAGGGAGGGGAACCTAAAGTATAATGCCCATAGGGAATGACTAATTTAAAAATAAAGAAATATAAACTTATATGGGTTGGAGTAACACTTTTAAATCAGAAAATGCTTGACAGGAGGCGCATTCTGCATGTTGCTACCTTGCCCTCCCAGAGATCATGTAGTAAAAAGAGTTCTGCAGGAACGAGTAACTTTTAGTTCTAAAAGGGATTTGAAAATATGAACACAATCTAGCAAATGTGTTTTCAATACAAAGATGGAAAATAAAAGTTAACCTCTAGTACTCCAATTCTAGAAAATGTGTTTTAAATAGAATAGCATACTCCTAGTTTTCACTTACTCTCACCTATGACAGCTACTGGAAAAAATGCATTGCACACACAATAAGCTGTCACACCTCAAAATACAGCTTACAGATTAACTAGAGAAAGTTTATTTTCTACCTTTGAACAACGAAAAGATACCTACTAGATCTTACCTATGGGATATCCAAGTGCAAAATCGTTGCTTTGTGTTGCAAATATGGGAAAGAGACCTGCTTTGCTGAATCGACTTTGTGGACTTGCGACTAATAATGTTAGCACACAGACAAGAAAAAATACTGTAGCTTTGGCAATCATTATACCATAAAGAAAAGACCAGTTGACATTGGAAAAATCCAAGACCACCATATTTTTGAAGAGTAGAGCTGGAAGTGCAAATCGGGACACATAGTTGCCCAGGCCTTTTGCTTGAATTGGAGTGATAACATTGGCTCTCCCTGCAATGTAGCCACACAATATGATCCCAAAGCACTCCAGGAGAGCGGGAAATAGTCTGTTTATAGACATTGAAGGTGAACCAGTCGTAGTGTTAGTCTGACTTGCTACAGTAAGACTCATGTTCACAGCATAAGAGAGGTTCTTCAACACTACCCCTGAGATGGCACTCATGTTCTTGCTTGTATTGACGTCAGTTCACGTCTAGTTTAATCCAAGAAACAACTTTACCACCTGTAAAACAAAACAAACATTTACAATTTTAAATTTAAAAAAAAAAAAAAAAAAATATTCACACACACACTTTACAATAATTAAAATGGGACATGGAGGAGTGGACGCCTCATTTAACATTACATATTGGACAGAAGAATTAGAGTTATAACTACAAAAATTCTCTGTTTGTAGCAGGCTGGATCAGGATCGATGTGAGACCAGTTCAAAGGTGTTAAAGAGACACTATAGTCACCAGAACCACTATAGCTTTATGTAGTTGTTCTGGTGAGTATAATGATTGCCTTCAGGCATTTTTTAAAAATTTGTATTTTATTGAATTTCATGCTTAAAAGCATACATTCATGTCAGAGTATGGTAATTGAAAAAGGTAAAACAGAAAATATAACACATCACATTGCCATCTGTGGGGAATTACTCTGTGTACATTGTCACATCTGTGGGGGAGTCTGTAGTCAGCGTATGTCTGGTTTGTGTGTCTCCTCAACTATGGTTAAGGGGGTCCTACCCTCTCTGTGTATGGTTGTGGGTAAGCATCAGAGGTGTGGGTGTAGGGTCTAGAGTGGCGGCTTGGGTTAGTGGGCCCCCAGGGACTGGGCCTGTACTACTGTCACCTGGGTGCATAATGGCTGATCTCGCGGCTATGTCTCTTATGATGATGGGGCTGTGCTCGCCTTTCTAATTCGGAAAGGATCACCCCAGGGTCCACTCACCCCTTCAGGCCGATGGTTGTGATTAGCTGTGGAGTATAGGGTAGGAGCAAGTTTCTCTGTATCTCCTCAGGTATGCCCAGCAGGTGTATGTTATGGCGCCTGTGTCGGGACTCCAATGAGGTCACTGTTCGGTTTAGCCTCTGGACCTGCTGTGCAAGCTCTGTCATATTGGTTTCAGGGATTTGCAGCCTTTTTTCCCTGTCTTTATCTCGCCCCTCCATCTCTAGGAGCTTCTTTTGCACTGTTCCCACTTCACACTCTCTCTCTGAGGTTGGCGTAGCTCTCTCAAATGAAAGCCGTATATCTTGCTGCTTTGGGGGTTCTGACCCTGGAAATTTTGGGTGCTTGCGCCCCATATCGTCTCTCTGTAGGGTGGGGATTATAGAGAGACTTCCTTGGCTTCGTTTAGACAGGTTTTTTGGATTAAGTCTCTGGGCCTGAACGGAGCTTCTCAAAAGCATGTCTGGTGCGGTGCTATGTCAGCCACACCCCCAGCCTTCAGGCATTTTAATGCAAACACTGACTTTTCAGAGAAAAGGCAGTGTTTACATTGCCCCGAGGGACAGCTCCAAGTGGCCACTCTTCAGATGGCCACTGGAGGTGCTTCCTGGGGCAGTGCTGCACAGTAGGCAGCACTGCCGTACAGCATCTCCACGCACTGCATGGGGACGCTGAATTTTCCTCATAGAGATGCATTGATTCAATGCATCTCTATGAGGAGGTGCTGATTGGCCAAAATGATTTCCCATGGGAAAGCATTGGATTTGCAAAAAATCTGCAATTCTGATGATGTCACCAAGGGAGGTGGGGACAGTGCCGGCAGACCCGGGCGGCGCTGGAAATAAGGTGAGTTTTAATTGCTTTTAAAGGGGCTTCATGGGGGGCAAGCCATCTAAATGGTGGGTTTAGCACTATAGGGTCAGGAATACATGTTTGTGTTCATGACCCTATAGTGTTCCTTTTTATAAAATTGTTATGTTAAAGGGTAAAAGTACTTAAAGCGGCTGTTAGCCACAAAAATATATATTTGAGCATTCCATAAAGACATAATATTTACAAAATGCTTATAAAGACTGCATTGGAATGATATTGAAATTCCAATGCATTAAAAAGAGAAGACAAAAAGAGAAGACAAAATAGAGCGACTACTTGGTACTTTACAAAAGGCAGAGCTACCGCTGTCAAGTTTTGTCACTATAGACGGTTTCAGGAATAAAGCATTGACTCGCTGATTGCTTGATATTTTCTATGGAGACTCTTACAGTATTCTCCATAGACCCAGTGTTCTACTCTCACACATGTTCTCCAGAGGATTAGTCGCAATGTCTGCTGATGCGACCACTTACACCGTGCACTTTGACATGGACAGTATTTGCTTACGTGATACTGAAGATTGAACGTAGGAACAGAGCATTTATAATGCAAATAAGATCGGTTCAGAACTTGAGGATATATCTTTTTTTTTTTTTTATGGCAGACTATAGGAACCTGGTTCGCTGGGTGAAACAAATCTGTGTGAGTGTAATACTTCATTTGGAACTCATTTGGAAATTAAATTTGATACTGTCACTTTAAAAAAGTTTGATTTGTTGAAAGTTATATTTGCTTTAACAATCTTCTGCAGCACTATAAATTGAAAAGAATATCCCATTTAGCAATGGTAATCTTGCTTAGAATTGCTTCACAGAAAAATGGTCAATAGCAATAAATGAAATAAGGTAACTCCTTGATTAGGAATAAATAATACAGTCCATTAGACTTCAAATAGAGAATAGGAGGAACAGATAATTCCTGTTTCAGTACAAAATATAATAAAGTGTAGAGGATTAGCCCCACTCTAAAGAGACTGGTGAGAATATTATAACCAACATAAGATGCCTTAAACAGGTCTACAATTGATAAGATACATTTAAAAAATAAGATAGAATAAGAGACCTTAAAGGACCACTCTAGGCACCCAGACCACTTCAGCTTAATGAAGTGGTCTGGGTGCCAGGTCCAGCTAGGGTTAACCCATTCTTTTATAAACATAGCAGTTTCAGAGAAACTGCTATGTTTATGAATGTGTTAAGCCTTCCCCCAAAGCCTCTAGCGGCTGTCTCATTGACAGCCGCTAGAGGCGCTTGCGTGATTCTCACTGTGAAAATCACAGTGAGAGCACGCAAGCGTCCATAGGAAAGCATTGATAATGCTTTCCTATGCGACTGGCTGAATGCGCGCGCAGCTCTTGCCGCGCGTGCGCATTCAGCCGACGGGGAGGAACGGAGGAGAATCGGAGGCAGAGAGCTCCACGCCCAGCGCTGGAAAAAGGTACGTTTTTCCCCCTTCCAGAGCCGGGCGGGAGGGGGTCCCTGAGGGTGGAGGCACCCTCAGGGCACTGTAGTGCCAGGAAAACGAGTATGTTTTCCTGGCACTATAGTGGTCCTTTAAATACAAATAAATATAAAATAAGATATATTCAATAATTTATATTTTATTATTTATGTCCAAAATAAAGAGTCCAATAAAAGATGATGGTATATACTTTCTGGAGGAGCAATCACGAACTTGTTCAAGGAAAATTTTCTTGTTGGGATATCAGATGCGGTCCGTATGTGGAAAGAAGAAGGAGACCATAATGTTGTAGTAAGTCCAGAAAATATAAATATAAGAGTTAAAGTATATATGGTCCTACTCACATTTTTTAGAGCTTTAAACCAGCTCTAGTATAATAAAAGGCATACAGTGGTACAATCCCCACTTATAGGATATGTGAAGAATGGTTTCAGTGATGTGTGGACCAAAAAATAAAAAGAAACAACAATAGTGCTCACTGTATAAAATCAACCAGAAGCATAAATAAGAGAATATTACTCACATTTGCCAGAGCAGACAAACATATATTCTATTTTGTACTAGCCTCACTGCTATAGGAATAGAGGGATTCCCTTCTTTTTGGAGGAAAGTTGCCTTTAATTTCCCTTTTCCCAGTTTATTCTATCAGCCCTGACCCTTTACTACTGTTACAATACCGGTTTCAGGAATGTAACACAGTCCTTTAAGTTGCAACAGTAAATGTTGAAAATAAATAGATCATGATTTGGATAGTGGTTATAGTCCTTTTAGACAATTATAAATGAAACAAATTAGGAAAGAGCAATCAGCTGTAATTGAAGTTTCAATAGTGCAAACAAAAAGTAATTGAATCCCTGAGGGCAGACATTAGTATACCCTTTTCCTTCCAAAATAGCCTTAAGGTATGATCCAATAATTAATCCTATTAACTGAAGAAATTCGCTTTATACCTGTGGATGATGAGAATGGAAGTCCTTTCCAGTATGTTAATGAGGATTGAGGATACCTTACACTATACTGAGGATTAGAGGAATTCATAGTCAAGTCTGTTCTGAGTCTGGGAGTGGAGAAGTCAGCGTAGTCAGGATCAGGTAAGTGAGGTTCGGTACATGGGTGTTCAAAAGAAGGAGCTCCATTGGCAATTGGTAATCTAAACGCTGCTATAGTCAGTGTGGAATTACCAACACACTGCCAGAAAAATCAGCCATTCACAATAGGCTCTGAATCATGTGAGTGGATACAGTTACCTCATATGGTTTATTGATTGTACACAAGTGACACAGGGACACATGGAGACCTCTTGGGACACAGACACTAGGGGATACAATGTCCCCAAGGGAAAACTTAAAGGACCACTCTAGGCACCCAGACCACTTCAGCTTAATGAAGTGGTCTGGGTGACAGGTCCAGCTAGGGCTAACCAATTTTTTCATAAACATAGCAGTTTCAGAGAAACTGCTATGTTTATGAATGGGTTAAGCCTTCCCCCTATTTCCTCTAGCGGCTGTCTCATTGACAGCCACTAGAGGCACTTGCGTGCTTCTCACTGTGATTTTCACAGTGAGAGCACGCCAGCGTCCATAGGAAAGCATTATGAATGCTTTCCTATGCGACCGGCTGAATGCGCGCGCAGCTCTTGCCGCGCGTGCGCATTCAGCCCAGGAGGAGGAGGAGAAGAGGAGGATCGGAGGAGGAGAGCTCCCCGCCCAGCGCTGGAAAAAGGTAAGTTTAAATCCCTTTCCCCCTTCCAGAGCCGGGCGGGAGGGGGGCCCTGAGGGTGGGGGCACGCTCAGGGCACTATAGTGCCAGAAAAACGAGTATGTTTTCCTGGCACTATAGTGGTCCTTTAAGAGGGATATATGGAAACAAAACTTGTGTGGACTAGCTGAAATTAAATTAGAGAGACCAAAGTCAGCATTACCTTAACGAACACTGTGGCATGTTCCCTTTCTTCTACACTCAGTACATCCACCTTTGCTCTGTCTAAGACTGTATAACAGCATGGAGCGAGCGCATCATTAGATGCATTTATGCAAAGCTCAGGATGCTGTTGGCCAGAATGCATGATTGGCAGGCAGCCTGACATGCATTCATGCCAGGCTAGCCTTCCAATTCTTTGGCCAGACACACCTCCTTTTTGGGCATGTTCGTCCCTTTCTAAAGTTCTGGTTACATGATCCATGTCAGTGGCCCACCCTTTTACACAACGGCCATTGACTTCCTACTTCACTAGACACTGCTGTTAGGGAGTATGGATTTACTTGAAAGATGAAAGCATGAATTAGAGAGATATTAGCATATTTTAAGAGAATCTGAGTTTTCTTATAGCTGCATCCTATGAGTCTCCCTCCGGCAACATCTCCACCAGATACATAACAGTTGAGAGGTATGACTTGTTTAGTCTTTATGGTCGGTAAGATTCTGTACTTAGGCCCCTCATAATTGTCAGCACCCGACCCACTGGGCTCTTAATCTGGCCCGGTAATATTGTATGAAATATGTGCTGGTGCACAATCAATTTTTTAGATTTGCATAGTAATATTTCTCCCCACAATACGTGCTCTATTATTTAGCCTGAGTTCCTGTTTAGTGCCCACAACGTGGCTCTTCATGTTCTCTATTGGAAGAAACAATAAATGTAAATTTTTCCAACACGTGGTTTATACTGTTTATTCACTAATTAGTCTGTAAACTCTTTTGTATGGCTACAATAAATCTTGACGTAGTGAGAAATGAAAAACAAATTACTAAAGTCAGCCTAAGATTGCCAATTTGTGATTATAGCAGAATTAAGAGTTTGTTCCCCAAACCAGCTATTTAGACTAAGTTCTGTAATTCTCTATGTCCCTATTTAGTGAATAAACCTTAGTGCATTTATGTTTTGTACGTCAGGGTTTACGCATGTATGTTTTCACCTGGCGTGATTGCAGCGTTTGCACAATGAGCATGGCAAAATCATATTGAGTCGCAAAAAAAAACAAAAAACAAAAAACACACAACAACATCTTCATGGTTTGCAGTTGTGAATAGAAAACTTAAAATTCCAACACAATACCTTCCCCAAAGAAACCTACTTGTAACCGTCTTATCAATTCCAACCCCCAAATAATTTCTTTATCTCGCCCTTTTTTTACATCTCAAAGTTTGTAAAAATCAATATCGTACTTATGACGGTAGTCACCATCACCAGGACCTTCAGACAGACTATTTATGTAGGTTTATATATTATTATAGGTGCAGGGTATGTGTAATGTAATTGTTAATAATGTGTGTGTGTGTACTGTTAAATGTTTTGCCTGCTCCTGTGTACTGCTGAGGATTGCTACCAACTAGGTGGATTTGGCTATGGAACCTGTATAGTGCCCTCTGTTGGTAGCAAAAGCAATATGCACTACCTGAATAGCAAGGCTGGTTAATTTGCATATTGCTATTTCTACCAGCAGGAGAGATGTTTTATGTTAATTATTGTATCCCACCTGTATGTCATTATTTTATTATTATAAGTTCCTGTATGTTGTCTGCTATGATTTGACTGTTTGTATTTTTATTGAGTTGTCACAGCAATCTTGATGTAATAATCATATACAAGGAAAGTAAAGTTTTTTATGTAAGTTCCTCTTGGAACTTGTGTCCTGTGTGGATTTGTAGGGATACCAGTGATAGAGTCTTCGTACCTGTTTGCAGGATCCCTCTAGCCCTGGGATAAATCAAAGGAGCTAGGCCTGAGAGCCACGGTTGCCTTTGTAAAGGCAATAACTATAATCACTGTAAGCAGAGCTAAAAGTGGAATAGGCAGAGGGGATGATGTCTGGAAGGAGCGCTTTGCCCACTGGAAGCTGGACTCCGGTCCAGGGTGCGAAGCAACAGCGAGACCCCGGCCAAGCTGCAACAGCTAGGGGCTGAAGTGCGGATAGTGTCGCAGCGATAGCTCGGAAGTGTGTTTGGTGGAGGTACCCAGTCGGTCTGCCACAGTACTGAAACGTAATACATTTTTGTAATGCAAGATATGTTATGAAGGGTTTTAATAAATTAATTTGCAATGCCAACCAGAAAAGAAATTCCCAGGCAAGTCTCAATCCTGCAAGGTTTATCTGGCAATGTCTATTATGACTCTAGTTTACTGTCTAGCATTATTCTAGAGGGAAAGACAGAAATTAAAAAACAAAAACGTAATCCGTTCAGTTTATGGATTTGGTAACAGTTGTCATGCGTAAAAAGTAAAAAAAAAAAAAATAATTCACTTACAAAGCAGTAAAAATGAATGTCTAGAATTGAAAAGTTACTGTGCAAGCAATTTCAGACAAGCCAGTTCCTAAAACAAAACCAACCAACCACCTCTCCCCCCCCCCACCAAAGAACCCACACAAAGTTAGCATTATTTAACAATCTGGCATAACAGCACTACTTAACTAGAGAGTTACATACATATATATTTTTAAAGGTAACTTTAGTTCCTTCACAAAAGGGAGCACTCACCGGTCTTCTTTTCTTGTGATTTTTTTAAAATCAAAAGTGCATAATTACATTCTTACATCTTTTCAATAAAAGAAACTAAATCAGGACAAAGTCTCAAACACAAGCAAATAACAGAACTTGAGAATGAAGGAAAAACAAAACCACAATGTTTCAAACATACGGAAGTGACCACAAACATGTTTAACCAACAATCTCTGCAGTATTATTGGAGCTGATGCAACACCTAACCTCATGTGATATCATTAGCTAGTACATGTCCTATCTTTGGCCATGTCCATGCTAAAGAAATATGTGGCATTGGAGAACGCTTATTGCAGGAAATTTGAAATAAACGGTTAGACAATTTCTACTGCAAAATGTACATGAAAGAAAAACCAAGATAAAACATGTATTCACAACTCCGTAAGCCAATGATTTATCCCCTTGTTCAGTTTTCCAACTCCCCCTATTTTTGAACGTGCACAATTGTTATTTTCAGTTTTTCCATGCAAGCTTCAAATTGCACGTTCGACACGACATAGGCCTTTCGACTAGGCATTGGATACTACCGATATAACCCAAAGCTCCTGAAGGCTTCACAGCTTTTTAAATTACCCTACGTGCTTTACTATGCTCATGACTAACTATACCACGATAATCATCTAGGCACGTGAAGCCCCATACTCGCACTCCCCAGACACAGATTACTTCACTTTTGCTTAGCTGAGAGATGGTATCTCAGATAAATAATAATTAAAAATGGGTTGTTTAAAGCTATGTGTAACGTATGTTAATGCTTATATTTTATGTTAATTCTACCTTTCATGCAACGCACATGATATGCAAAAAAAAAAAAAATCCACTGTGCCTAACCTCACTGTTTCTTTCCATGCAGTCCTAGCCACAGATAGGAGATCTGTGGCTAGGACTGCATGGAAAGAAAGGGTGAGGTTAGGCACAGTGGAATGTTTTTTATTTTTTTGGATATCATGTGCGTTGCATGAAAGGTAGAATTAACATGACTCACTAAGTCTGCATAAAAAAAAAAAAAGACAAAGTCTGCATGAAAAAAGGTAACATTTTCAATCAGATGCTAACTTGCTTTAGATGTTTTTATCTCATGCTCTGTAAATTGAACTTTAATCACAACTGCAAGATCTTTCAAGCTATTAACAGAGCAGGAGTTTAAACATAGATCTCACTTACAGGAAGTGTTTAGGAAGGCTGTGCAAGTCACATGCAGGGAGGTGCGACTAGGGCTGCATAAACAAAGTGATTAAACTCCTAAATGGCAGAGAATTGAACAGTTAGACTGCGGGGGCGTGATCTATACACCTAAACAGATTCATAAAGCTAAAGTTGTTTTCGTTACTGTAGTGTCAAATGGACTCTAGTCACCAGAACCACTACAGCTTAATGTAGTAGTTGGTTCGTGGGATTTTATATTTGGTTTGAGAACCGAACAGGCGCACGAACCAGAGACCACCCGGGAGCTTGTTAAGCCTAAATGACAGATTGTAACACTTTCCACCGCAGTGTTCTATGTGTTCGTCTGGGTGGCCGCATTTCCTATGGACGACCACGAGCAGGCAGCAGTGTTTGGACATGAATCTCATGGAACTGAAACTCCCGAATAATGCTGGACTTCCAGCATTGCCTGTGTTCAGTTCTATGACACTTAGAAAGGCGATGTTCGGTGGAAACGTTTCCACGAACAAGGGGAACAAGTTCCAGGGTAAGAACATTGACTCTGTTCGGTGTTTGTTTGGTTTTAAACTACCGAACTAGACCGACCGCAAGCCCTGATTCTCTGGAACTATTTTGGGCATGGACTATGCGTACGGTCGGTCAAATTATGACTTCCAGGAAATTCCTGAAACCCTGAACCGATCTGGGTGATTTTTGGATATGTTGGTCACCCAAATCGGGGCTACCAGGGGATGTAACTTTTGTGGGGTTTTGTGTGTTTAAATGTATTTTGGGGGTTTTATAAAAATGTATGTTTTCTGTGCCTGCAGATAATTGAGTTTAATACAGTGCTTGACTCAATTATCTCCCAGGCACAGATGATGGATTAACTTGTTTTATGTGGGAGTGTCCTGGACCTAAGAGCCAATGTAATTGTGTGTAGGTTTTTACTGTAGTCTACTCTGAGGTCAAGGGGGGAGTGCCCCTTGCATGGGGAACTGCATAAAAGGCCAGTTGTGGCTGCCATTAAACAGTTCATCTTCATCCTCAACACATAGCCTCATCTCGTGATTGTAAGGAACAGCTATAATCCCTGCTCCTGGGATTGTTCTTTGGAATCACTAGCTCTTGTAAGAGCTATACTCTCTTGGAGGAGAGGTCTTCTCACTGGGAGCTGGATCCAGGAGTTTGGTCCAGGGTGAGAATGGACAGCGGGACTCCAGCCAAGCTGCGGTGGCTAAGGTGCTTATGGTACTCAGCGACAGCTAGGAAGCAGCGATTGGCGGAGGCACCCAGCTGGGGTGCCAGGCGGTCCGTCACATTGACATAATGTTACATTCTCAGGCTAGGTGGCTACCTTGCTATATTCTTTCCCATCATACATGGTTCACCCGACTAGGTGGCTACCTTGCTATATTCTTTCTTATCACGCATGGTTCAGTCTAATTAGTTGGAGTTATTTCAAATTCTTGTTCAAGTGAACCTGCAGGACTGGAAGAATATTGAGATATTCAGTCTTACCTCCGATCCAGCGCCACAATTTCCTCCACTTCCCGTTTCTCTTCATTAGCACCAACCTCTGTTCCCCCTCACTCTCCTGCAATCTTCTTTCAATTGCACTGCTTGGGAATGCATCCCCAGGCAGTTCAAAAGTCATCTGTAACATTGGCACTCTGGCTTAAATTACCAGCATACTGGTATCTTAACAGAGTGACATCAGTCACTCTGTTCCAATACTCACTAGCAAGTGCAAGTGGCATTGTCTAGGATGCTACTGTAGCAACAACTGCGCATGCGCGGTGGTTGCTATGTGTGTGGAGCAGAAAGATAACCTGTGGGAGGTCTCTTCTACTCTTCAATTTCAAAATAAGTCTCTCTCCCACCTGTCAGTCAGTCCTTCTGCGTTTGTTTCCAAGGATTGACTGAAAAACACCTATTTTTAAATACGTTTTCGCCAGATCTATACATTTCCTAGCACAATCTACAGATGAAATTGTATGCTCTTTAAAACAAATGCGTAAGTTGTAGGTATAGTGACAATACCAGTTATATGTGTACCCTACAATTAGTTGTCAGACACATCAAAAACGCTGCCACCATTATCCATCAGCAAGTGAGTAGCCTGGAAATGTATAGCTTGTAAAACAGAGGCAAGTGGACTTGTTTTATAAATACAATATATTTACAAATTTTTTACTCTATTCCAGATTAAATTTGATCCTGTATTGCTCAACATACCTAGGTTATTTTCTTCAACGTACTCTCCTATTAAAATGGTTAATATTATTTTTTATATTTTTTTTTATAATTTGTTTATTATTATTTTTCTTGTATATCAAACATACATATATACATTAACATACAATGCATACAGAATAAATACATTGAATACACAAATCCATATAAACTAACAAAGATATAACAAAGTTGATCGTCCTATCCTATTGATTCAACTTGATACTCAAATTACATAGAGGGTTAGATTAAATTCCCACTTCTTCAAAGATTACCACTTGATTAATACACCATAAATACTTTCCAATATTTAATTCTCCAAAATGGTTAATATTATTAACATTACATGTGGTTAGTGACTGCAAACTACAGGCTGGATCCACTCAAAGTAAACGAGTACGCTAAACCAAGTTATTTACAGTTTCCTCAAACACTTTAGGGTTCATTCACTAAACAGTGAATTTTAGTGAACGGCCAAATTTTAGGTTAACACAGCCAAGCTGATTACAGCACATTTAAAGAAAATTTTCAAATCAGCATTTTTTTTTGCACACATACTGCAATTTGTCTTTACACTCACTGTTTGGTGAATAACCCTCAGGGGTTTTTTTTCCCTTTCTGCCTTACATTATTTTCCTGATAGGTCTTTATTAGAGGTGGTTAAGTTGGTTTTCAGTACAATTTTTATGTGACGTGCAGTGATCTGAGGCAGAACATTAATTATTATATAGGGTTAATTCACTACACCGCAAATAAATGTAAAATGAAAAAGAAAATTGCTATATACTGGCTAAAAAAAACAAAAAAACAACAACCAAGAAGTCAGGTATATTGACTAAGCTCTTACCTAGGAAGGACTGGAATGTGAATTATAAAATTTAGCCACATATACCTAAGCTGTGTCAATAGCCAATTATTATTATTGTTGTTGTTTTTGCCTAAATATTGCATTTCTGAGATCATAAATGTTCACCATGTGCAGTTTAGTGAATATCATTGCCAGGGTTATTCACCAAGATACTAAATTGTAGCAAACTGAACTCCAAATAGAATAAATGGAGAATAAACTGTCCAGGCTGTGCCTTCCAGCTGGGGGAGAGCATTATCCCCAGGGCAGCGAGTTTTACCACTCACACCTTCATTCGCAGTTTAGTGAATAACCCTCCCTGCCTGCCTGTGTGATAATGACTGAGTTAGAGGAGTTTAACTAAATCAGCACTTTATATGCCCAGTGCACTCCAGCGGCTGTGGACTCCATCTCCCATGATCCTCAGCCAGCAGCCCCTCTCATGACGTCACTGACAGGAAGGTCACGTGACCCCCCCTTCTCTCACCTGCTCAGCTGGCAGAGCCGGCTCGCTCCCGGTCACCATGGCAGCTGCGTGGCCCCGGGCGGACAGGGTGCTCCATTGACAGCTCGGAGCGGAGAATAACAACAGCAGCAGCAGCCCCTCAGCGCTGGAGAGTGAGGTGACGCAGTAACTCGGCCGCCGTCCAATCAGAATGCAGAGCCCACAAGGGCAACTGTTAACCAATGTAGAGGGTCTGCGGCGCGCTCCGCCGTGCAGCCAATGGGAAAACACGGCGGAGTCACGTGTGACGGCGAAGACCAGGAGAAGTGGGCGGGGCTGACTGCATGTTCTTTGGAGTTGGCATCCAATGGGAAGCCGGAGAAGGAAATCAGTTTAGTGTCACTCAGTGGGTGATAGCAGCTAATGGAGGGGGGGGGGGAGCACAAAATAAATAAATACAATACAATAATCCTCATATAATATCATATAGTACTATATAATAACCCCATATAATATCATGCAGTACTATATAATAACCCCATATAATATCATGCAGTATTCCCATATAATATCATATAGTACTATATAATAACCCCAGATAATATCATGCAGTATTCCCATATAATATCATATAGTACTATATAATAACCCCAGATAATATCATGCAGTACTATATAATAACCCCATATAATATCATGCAGTATCCCCATATAATATCATGCAGTACTATATAATAACCCCATATAATATCATGCAGTATTCCCATATAATATCATATAGTACTATATAATAACCCCAGATAATATCATGCAGTACTATATAATAACCCCATATAATATCATGCAGTATCCCCATATAATATCATATAGTACTATATAATAACCCCATATAATATCATGCAGTATTCCCATATAATATCATATAGTACTATATAATAACCCCAGATAATATCATGCAGTACTATATAATAACCCCATATAATATCATGCAGTATCCCCATATAATATCATTTAGTACTATATAATAACCCCATATATCATGCAGTATCCCCAGATAATATCATATAGTACTATATAATAACCCCATATAATATCATGCAGTATCCCCAGATAATATCATGCAGTACTATATAATAACCCCATATAATATCATGCAGTATTCCCATATAATATCATATAGTACTATATAATAACCCCATATAATATCATGCAGTACTATATAATAACCCCATATAATATCATGCAGTATTCCCATATAATATCATATAGTACTATATAATAACCCCAGATAATATCATGCAGTACTATATAATAACCCCATATAATATCATGCAGTATTCCCATATAATATCATATAGTACTATATAATAACCCCATATAATATCATGCAGTACTATATAATAACCCCATATAATATCATGCAGTATTCCCATATAATATCATATAGTACTATATAATAACCCCATATAATATCATGCAGTATTCCCATATATCATTTAGTACTATATAATGACCCCCATATAATATCATGCAGTATCCCCATATAATATCATATAGTACTATATAATAACCCCATATAATATCATGCAGTACTATATAATAACCCCACATAATATCATGCAGTACTCCCATATAATATCATGCAGTATCCCCATATAATATCATATAGTACTATATAATATCCCCATATAATATCATGCAGTACTCCCATATAATAACCCCATATAATATCATGCAGTATCCCCATATAATATCATATAGTACTATATAATAACCTCACATAATATCATGCAGTATCCCCATATAATATCATATAGTACTATATAATAACCCCATATAATATCATGCAGTATCCCCATATAATATCATATAGTACTATATAATATCCCCATATAATATCATGCAGTACTCCCATATAATAACCCCATATAATATCATGCAGTATCCCCATATAATATCATATAGTACTATATAATAACCCCACATAATATCATGCAGTATCCCCATATAATATCATATAGTACTATATAATAACCCCATATAATATCATGCAGTATCCCCATATAATATCATATAGTACTATATAATAACCCCATATAATATCATGCAGTATCCCCAGATAATATCATATAGTACTATATAATAACCCCATATAATATCATGCAGTATTCCCATATAATATCATATAGTACTATATAATAACCCCAGATAATATCATGCAGTACTATATAATAACCCCATATAATATCATGCAGTATCCCCATATAATATCATTTAGTACTATATAATAACCCCATATATCATGCAGTATCCCCAGATAATATCATATAGTACTATATAATAACCCCATATAATATCATGCAGTATCCCCAGATAATATCATGCAGTACTATATAATAACCCCATATAATATCATGCAGTATTCCCATATAATATCATATAGTACTATATAATAACCCCATATAATATCATGCAGTACTATATAATAACCCCATATAATATCATGCAGTATTCCCATATAATATCATATAGTACTATATAATAACCCCAGATAATATCATGCAGTACTATATAATAACCCCATATAATATCATGCAGTATTCCCATATAATATCATATAGTACTATATAATAACCCCATATAATATCATGCAGTACTATATAATAACCCCATATAATATCATGCAGTATTCCCATATAATATCATATAGTACTATATAATAACCCCATATAATATCATGCAGTATTCCCATATATCATTTAGTACTATATAATGACCCCCATATAATATCATGCAGTATCCCCATATAATATCATATAGTACTATATAATAACCCCATATAATATCATGCAGTACTATATAATAACCCCACATAATATCATGCAGTACTCCCATATAATATCATGCAGTATCCCCATATAATATCATATAGTACTATATAATATCCCCATATAATATCATGCAGTACTCCCATATAATAACCCCATATAATATCATGCAGTATCCCCATATAATATCATATAGTACTATATAATAACCTCACATAATATCATGCAGTATCCCCATATAATATCATATAGTACTATATAATAACCCCATATAATATCATGCAGTATCCCCATATAATATCATATAGTACTATATAATATCCCCATATAATATCATGCAGTACTCCCATATAATAACCCCATATAATATCATGCAGTATCCCCATATAATATCATATAGTACTATATAATAACCCCACATAATATCATGCAGTATCCCCATATAATATCATATAGTACTATATAATAACCCCATATAATATCATGCAGTATCCCCATATAATATCATATAGTACTATATAATAACCCCATATAATATCATGCAGTATCCCCAGATAATATCATATAGTACTATATAATAACCCCATATAATATCATGCAGTATCCCCAGATAATATCATATAGTACTATATAATAACCCCATATAATATCATGCAGTATCCCCAGATAATATCATATAGTACTATATAATAACCCCACATAATATCATGCAGTATCCCCATATAATATCATATAGTACTATATAATAACCCCACATAATATCATGCAGTATCCCCATATAATATCATATAGTACTATATAATAACCCCAAATAATATCATGCAGTATCCCCATATAATATCATATAGTACTATATAATAACCCCACATAATATCATGCAGTATCCCCATATAATATCATGCAGAACGCCTATATGATAACACCCATATAATATAATGCAGTATCCCCATATAATAACCCCATATAAAATGTAGTACTCCTATATAATAACCCCATATAATATAATGAAAAATAGAGAATAGAGTCAGCGCTAATACATTGGAGAGAGACACAAGAGGCAGCAATCCCAAACAAGGACTCCCTCAAGTGACCTTGGGATAAATACAAAAAACAATCAAATAGAAGGATGGGACTGCGCCAATAGACAGAAATGAAAAGTCCTTATTAAAATATGGAAATAAAGTCCAAATGTAATAAAAAACTTGGTATTATGTTCGTCTCTGTAGTTTTGTTCCTTCCTGGTATATGAAGGAGGGTGATGAATGATGAGGTGGTGTGGGGTGATCCAACGGGTAACCAAATGAAAAAGAAGAGGTAATACTCACTTTTAGTAGAGCTTAATCCAGCTCTGGTGTGGATGGCTTGCAGCGGTATTATCCCCGCTTATAGGATATATGGTGAGCTTCCTCTTCAGTATGATGACCGGCAACCAGGTAGAATATGAAACGAAAAAGCAATATATACGTATACGGGGGATCATACCGTTGCACGCCTACTACACTAGAGCTAGTATAAGCTCTATTAAATGTGAGTGTATCTTTTATATTTTTTATACCTTTTATCTACTTTTTGGGACATATTGCACTATTATTGCTTTTTCGTTTCATCTTCTACCTGGTTGCCGGTCATCATACTGAAGAGGAAGCTCACCATATATCCTATAAGCGGGGATAATACCGCTGCAAGCCATCCACACCAGAGCTGGATTAAGCTCTACTAAAAGTGAGTATTACCTCTTCTTTTTCATTTGGATACCCGTTGGATCACTCCACACCACCTCATCATTCATCACCCTCCTTCATATACCAGGAAGGAACAAAACTACAGAGACGAACATAATACCAAGTTTTTTATTACATTTGGACTTTATTTCCATATTTTAATAAGGACTTTTCATTTCTGTCTATTGGCGCAGTCCCATCCTTCTATTTGATTGTTTTTTCCATATAATATAATGCAGTATCCACATATAATAACCCCATATAATATGTAGTACTCCTATATAATAACCCCATATAATATCATGCAGTATCCACATTTAATAACCCCATATAATATAATGCAGTATCCCCATATAATAAACCCATAAAAAATGCAGTACTCCTATATAATAACCCCATATAATATAATGCAGTATCCACATATAATAACCCCATATAATATGTAGTACTCCTATATAACCCCATATAATATCATGCAGTATCCCCATATAATAACCCCATATAATATGTAGTACTCCTATATAATAACCCCACATAATATAATGCAGTATCCCCATATAATATGTAGTACTCCTATATAATTACCCCATATAATATCATTCAGTATCCCCATATAATAACCCCATATAATATGTAGTGCTCCTATATAATAACCCCATATAATATCATGCAGTATCCCCATATAATAACCCCATATAATATGTAGTACTCCTATATAATAACCCCATGTAATATGTAGTACTCCTATATAATAACCCCATATAATATCATGCAGTATCCCCATATAATAACCCCATATAATATCATGCAGTATCCCCATATATCATGCAGTATCCCCATATAATATGTAGTACTCCTATATAATAACCCCA